TCTACGGAAATGTAACAAATTGAACATTGAAACCGATCTGGCTTGGGAGATTCCACAGAAATGAATAGTTTGGCTAAAACTAAATTCATTCAGTAATTTACGAAAGCACTAAATTAAAGAGCCACACTTTATAGAAACTCAATGTGTGATATATTTCTGAATTCATCTTTCCATGGAGATTCCAGAAATATTATTATATATAGGGTGTTATATTTGGAAAATTGTCGAGGACGTTAAAGCTCAAACGTGGATCGCCCTGTATATTTAATTTCCTTTTGAAAATGTGTTAAACTGAAAATAGAAATCGACTTATTCCAGGAGATTTCTCAGAAATGGATAGTTTGACTAAAAATAAATAATGTATTCAGTAGTTCACGAAAGCACTGTACAATATAATGTCTTATCGATTTGAAACAAAGGAAAAAGGATACGACGAAACGATCATGGAAAAATTCAATTTATCGGTTTCGAAATAAAAATAACAGAAATATCAGAGTTGATTGATTATTGAACTGGAAAAAGTAGCTAGGTACATAATTCAATTAATTTTCGAAGTAGATAAATTAAAACGTGCATTGATGGGATTCAATTAGGACTTTTATTTGAAGGAGAGTAGGGCCACACTTTCATCATCGTCCACCAAAGAATATTAGTGGACGATGCTTTCATTGGCTCAACTGTTGAAGCAAAACATGAATGAAGAGCGTTAAAAAACAGTGGTATTTCAATTTTCAGAAATATTGATCAGTAATTATTGTCACAACTTTCAATAATTTAATTTTTTACTCACAGTGATTCTTGATCGGAAGGGCTGTATTTTAGGGAACATATTTAACTAGAAAAAATTCTTATTCCGATTCCAACAAAACGTCCTAGAATATCAACATCGAATTTTGAATCAATCTCTTCAGATTGATGATTGAATATTTCAGATTCGATATTTCCAAGGTTGGTAAAGCTGAAGCTGATGATCATTTGTCTAGTAAGTCGCCTACTCGATCGAAAAGCGCGGTGGAAAGCAGTATTTATTTTTGACGTAATTATTGAAAATTTCATGTTGGATTCATAGAAACCTGAACTCTGGATAACAGCTGAATTGACAAAATTTACTAGAGAGAAGTTATCTAATATAGATGTCAATCACTTCAGAACAAGATTTTTGCTATAAAGACGTCACGAGTTATCTTATATTTCTTCCACCACGTTTTTCGATCTCTAGTGAAATCGCAATAGTCATGAAAAATCAACAAAACATGGGCAAGTTGTCGTCAACCTCAAACGTTTTTTGTTTTTCATTGATTAAAAATTTGGGAGAGATTTGGATCTCTATTATGAATGAAATGTTCTGATCTTTATATTTCAAACGATCATCACTGCAACTTCAGTTGAAACGCTCTAAATAAACCAGATATTCACTGCAGCAGATATTATTGAAGATATCTTTGGCTACATTGAATATTCTCTGTAAAAGACATTCTCAATTCTGACAAGTCAACCAGGACTTTGACCTGAGGAAAACAAGAATTCTGGGACAAAACCATGCAGAGGCAAAATAAATATTGATAATTTACTTACGAGAAGGAACGCCATTGCAGATGCACTCAACAATGAAATGCAACTACTGGGTGGCTCCTCCCCATCCTGCAGTATTTATAACGAAGAACCTCACTTCTTCATCGCTGATCGCCTTCATTCAAGGTCCCATCTAATTTTCAGAATCAGAAAAATCCAATAGCCATTCTAGGCAAGACTATATCATTACGGAACCTTATGTTTTGTAGCCTGTTACCTCATAATACTCATACATAATCGTGAAGACTTCTGTACAGAATGTACAGGGAGATATTTCGTGAGTATAATGAAAAATAAATGAAAAGCCCATCTTTAGATAATGACATGGGTACTATTTGCTGTTTCATTCGTTGATAATAATTATAATAATTTGTGTTGATGAGAATTTCACTGATGTTGATACATATTGAGATAAAAAACATATTGACGAATAAATAAATATGCCGAGACTGTTCAGATCCCCATTGAATAGGAATCAAACAATATATCTGATTCATTTCCAATATCATGATCGTATCTTCATCGTCTAATAACTGTAATCAATTAATTTCGTTGAATCTGAGTTTTTGGTTCTAACCTAACGATGGTGTTCAATATTTCCAAATCGTGATTCTTCAGTATATTATCTTGTTTCTTCATCATATTGCATGTTTCAAATGGAGAGACAATGCTTTTCTTCAATGTTTCCCCCCCCGCTTCATTTTCTTAACGGGTCGACTGAAAAAATTGAAACTTATTGGGGTAATGGAATTGATGCACGAACACTAAATCTTGGAGTGAAATTGACAGATGAAAATTACAAGATGGCGACTAGGTGCCATCTGAGGAAAAAAATTAAATTGATGCTAATGACGAATACTTCACAACCCCAGAAGTCAATATCTCCACCTACTACAAAATTTGTTTTTGTTCTAGTTTCTTCATCATATTACATGTTTCAAATGGAGAAACAATGCTTTTCTTCAATGTCTCCCTTCCCCCGCTTAATTTTTTTAACGGGTCGACTGAAAAAATTGAAACTTATTGGGGTTATGGAATTGATGCACGAACACTAAATCTTGGAGTGGAATTGACAGATGAAAATTACAAGATGGCGACTAGGTGCTATCTGAGAAAAAAATTAAATTGATGCTAATGACGAATACTTCACAACCCCAGAAGTCAATATCTCCACCTACTACAAAATGGCAGAACATCTCATTATTTGAGGAAATAAGAGCTGAGTTCAGTTCAGAAGATGCTCGAATTGGTTGCCTTGAACTTCTTGACATAAGAGCGGCGTATCCGATATTTCATGCCGAACATAATTACGTCGATTTTTCTACAAATATTCATCATTTTCTGTCGTATATCAAATATTGAAGCAGGTGCAGCTCACACATCAGTACACATTTTGCTCCAAATAGCCCCATGAAAAAACGTCTAAAGGTGTCTAATCTGCCGAGCAGGTTGGTCATTCCCTGGGATCTAGACGGCGAATCCAACGATTGGATTAGTATTCAAATGTTTCTAACTTATCTGGAGTAGTGTGGTGGTGCTTCATCTTGTTGAAATACAATAATCATATTGATGTGTGAGTATTGAGGCAACTATTATATGTCCCACTTTATATTTTAGGGTTGTGAAGTATTCATCAGGAGCTTCAGAAAGATGTGTCACAAGACATTTAATTTCATCCCCAGATGGCGCCTAGTCGCCATCTTAATGTTTCCATCTGTCAATCTTGCTTCAAAATATAGTATTCATGCATCAATTTTTTCATCCCAAATTTCAATTATGTCAGTTGACCCTTCAAAAAAATCGAAGTGGGGAGGGAGCATTGAAGAAAAACATACACTGTATACCAACTGCATCGTATCGTCTTGTGATAACTATACAGAGTGTTTCCGAACTATACGGTACGAAAGTTAAGAGGGTGATTAGATCTTTTATCTTAAAACTACTTTACGAATGATCCTCTGAATTTCCGTACCGTGATTAGGAAGCACCCTGTATAGCACCAGAATAATTTCAAATATCATGGCTATCTTTAGAACCAATTCCCTAGTTATATCATATTCATTAGTTCAGAAACATATTTTTCAAGATATTTTGGAAGATTTATAGTCTCACGATAAGACCTACACTGTTTTCAGCATGAATCTGACATTATAACGTGGTGGATATTGAAATCAATATCAGATTTGCGCAAGTAAATGCAACAGAAAATGGTATGGAGAGGATTAGATCTGAATTATTTATTTCTACATCTTGAGCAGAATAATTATAATTAATTAGCGATAACGAATTGGATCAAGGAATTAACTTTCAATGAAAAAAATGTGCCTGATATACTTAATATGATGAGATGTTTTGATATTCTTTTATCCATGTTCAACTTTCCAAATAGGAAAATCAGGAATCCAAAAAGAAATATCTATTCAAAATGTTGAAAAAGATGATTCGATAAAACGAATGGATAATTGAAATGTTATGAATATATGTATACGTAAGTGTACCCTATGGTATACCTAACTACGAATCAATTTATGCGCAGAACAACTCGAAAATAATGCGTATTTGTAGCCTTGAATTTAATCAGTTGAAATTTGTTAGTCACGAATTTCAGCTAATTTCGAATAAGAATGCTTCAGAACTAGGTAGGTTTTCTTTGAATGATTCACATTCATATAGTCATATAACGGTGCAAATTTATAATTGGTCACTCGGAATAAAATCGACTTGGAAAGTATTATTCGATATTATTTGTTAATCACAGTGTCGTCAAAGTTCAGATTTGTTCATCTATATCCACTTTTCAACGCTTATTGATTTTCTTATTATGTTCTGACAAGAGGCCATTTTTCTATGAAACTGAAAATTTCCTGATATTCTATAATGAAAATTGAAACTGTCCCACTAACAATCGTTTGAAACGTAATATAAAATAATGTGTTAATATTCCCTTAACGACACCACTGGTATTTATTTCAGCTGGAAAATCTTGAGAACAAAGCATATTATATACAACCACTGCTCATGTTATCCGTTCTATTTAAGATACGGCCTACTGTCAATTGAGGACATTCTGCTACTATGAAGTGGATAACCCTGTATTATTCCCTAGAAAAACGATTGACTTTTAAAAAATATAATTTATTCAACAATTAAATAATTCACAACAAAATAACGAGTAGTTATATTCAATGATAATACTGATCATATACCTACCTAATAATTCTATTTTTCATATAGGCTTTGAAATTATTTGAAGCATGATTTAATCATTTGAATCTGTAGCTATTGCCAGGATTTTATTCCGAAATCTTGTCATATTGTTCTATTCCCTACAGTATGATCTTTTATAGTACCTGGTAGACTGACATTCATCAGCAATATATCAACAGAGTTATACATGAACTCCAATAATTTTCACAGAATTTTTGACACTAGTAGTGTCCCTGCTCAGACTGATGTCCTTGATCATACTGTGATTGGCCATACTGTGCTTGGTCATACTGTGCATGGTCATACTCGGCTTGGTCATACTGTGCTTGGTCATACTGCCCTTCAGCATGCTGCTCCTCCTCAGGCTCTACTACCTGTACCTGATGCTGTTGGTGCTGACCTTCCAAAACATGATCTTCTTGGTGATTCTGGAGCTGCTATAGAAGAGAAATAAAAGAATAAGCATTCATAAGTGAGTCAGGTTAGGTTAGATTCAGAGGGAGTGACTGATCAGTCTTGGTCTTGGTCTTGGTCTCAGGAAATAAATGTAGTCTTGGTCTTGATAGTTTGAACATAAACATTAAATGAGAGCCGAACAGCAAACAGGCCGACTCCCGACAGGCCAGGAAAATGGTTCAAAAGGATCGGAACTGACGACGACGCATTATCAAAATATTTATAAGAATTTCACATCCGAACCAAATGACTTTTGTATTGAATTTTTTAAATCTTCAATAGGTGGAGGTATGGACCACTGTGGCCTTACAACATACACCTATTTGTTGTAAACTTTGAAACTGCAATACTGAATTTGAGAAATGTATCTCGAATTTTGAGTGAACAAAATTTCAAACCTCTCATATGACAAATAAACGACTGAAATGACATGCCATCACATTTTTCATCATGTTTTTCTTGATGTTGAGTAGATTCAAGTTCATTATTTCTCTTTCGAGACCAAGACTCTTGGGAGAGATCTTTGGTCGTGGTCTTGGTCTCGAAAGTCGTCTTGGTCTTGGTCGTGGAGAGATTCATTGAGTCTTGTTCTTGGTCTTGGTCTCAATGATCTTTCAGGTTCGAGGGCGAGAGTGAAACAGTCCATGGTAAAATCCTGCCGAACAGCAAAAACCTTATTCGAGCCGGTCAAAAAGTATGATGAATGCCTTGGAATGAGCCAGTCCTGGTTGAATTCAGCTGCAACTCTTCTCGCAGTCCAAGTTCAATTCATGCATGAGCAATCGCAACTACAAAGACTGCAAACGCTAGCGACATCTGGCAACCATAAAGAGGTAACACCGCAATGGGTTTCATGTCATAAAGGCAATGTGGAAGAAGGAAAACACAATGATCATTGGTACCTATAATGTTTCATGATAAAGACAGTAGAATGATGACTGAATCATCGTCAGCTTATACATTGTGACAATTTGAAAACGAGCAGCACTCAATATTTCTTCAACTAATGACACTATGAAAATTTGGCGTAGGATGTCAATTAACATATAAAGGGAGATAACTTCTGTGGAATTTGTTGTTAAAATACATTCAACTCCTTCACCATCAGGGCAACTACCCCTGAAATTTCAAATGGCTACCTCTAATGATTTTGCTATTTTTGAAATCCCTGGAAAAATCATGTAGAGATATAACTAATTACTTTATGATTTATTCAAAATGATCTATAATGATTTGTGAGCAAGAGTACAGCTGTTATTCTAACTGTTCTCGGACCTTCTGATGGAATATCTCTGGAATATCGGCTGTAATTGTACTCACAGAACAATGTAGACCATTATGAACAATTCATAAAGTTATTAGTTAGGTCTGTATATCGTTTTTGAAAATTTTATCATCATAATATGTTACAATCCAAAAATTGATGAGGTTGAGTACAGCAATTTGAAAAAAAAAATTGAATATAGGTGAAACTCATCTGTTATTAGAGAGAATATCTCCCTCATATGAAAAATGTATCATGAGAGCAATGCAATTATCCGACAATTAGACTTCAAAAAGTGAAAGAAACGTCGCATTTTGTTGATTGTTCCATACAGTCTATCGCGAATTTCCTTATTCATGGACTATTTCAATGAATCACATTCGTGCATGAAATAGACCAGATGATTTTGCATTCCATCGTGTTAACTTATACAAATTGTATTCGCTTATTTTCATCTTTTGTAAAAGAACCCTCCCCTCCTTCGAAAAGGGTCTCTTTCGCCAAAATATGGAAATAAATTACTGCAATTTTTAAATAACACGCTTTCTTGTAAAATCATCGGACATTTACATGCACTCGTGCAATTATCACCGAATGAAGATCCTCTTAGATGAAAGCTAATGAATCTATTCACCTCAGCAAACACATAATGTATCTAATAGCTGCAGTGTTTGGGTAGACAAACCCTGACTTGTTGATCTGAGTAAATGATTTTTTTTTGTTTTTTATGTTCTGGTCCCCACGAAAAGAGATATCCTGTAATGTTCACAGAACATCGTGAGAACCAAAGGAAATAAGGTAGGAATTGGTGTTCTTCTTAAATTTCTGGAGGCTATATGCCTCGGAGAACACCTCCATTGGCGATGTGTTCCAGAGCCTCGCCGTTCGTTGGATGAACCAGTCTTTGGGAAGAGATGTTCTGCAGGTTCTGCAAAGTGACCACGAAGGGGTGCGAAGCCTCAACTCGACGAGTTAATCTCGCAGGGACTGCCAAGGGAAGAACAATTGTTTGTATTCCAGAAGGGCATCGTCCATGAGAATATTTATAAAATAGAGCCAGATCGCCAACTTTTCTACGGTGTTCCAGAGAAGTGAGTGAGTTTTGTGAGCGAGGCATCACCCACGAGACGAATTGCCCTTCTTTAGACAGAATCCAACAGTTATCGGGTGGATTAAATTAGATTTGAAAATGTGGCATTCGGGCTATCTGCCTCCTCACCACAACCTTTTCAGATCTATTGTTTCTGCCCTCAAAATCGATTAGAGTTTTTCGGCTTGCCCCGCCTTCTCTATGAGACTCCATAAGCTAGCTTTCAGCTCCCCTATGTATCTTTGGGCTTCTGGTTTTTCCTCACCCAGCGTAAGGAACCTTAGTCTTGACACGCCCTCACAGTGGCAAAGTATGTGTACTGCTGTTTTATCTTCTTCCTGACAGAACCTGCACAGCAGTTCTTCAGTCAGACCTATCGTACTCATGTGTTTGTTGAGCCTACAATGCCCTGTGAGAAGTCCCACTAGTATTCTAGTTGAACTTCGTTTCTGGCTTAGTAGATATTCTGTGAATGTTGGCGATGGTTTTTTAATGAACTCTTTCGCCTGTCTCATTCCTGGCGAGTTGTTCCACCTTTCTTGAGATTTGGTTTGCATCCATGATTTGATACTAGTCTTTTGTATAGCTTTCCCAATACCACAGAAGTGTTCTGGGCCATTCAGGGTATGTTTTGGTGCCGCACTCCAAATATGGAGACAGTATTTCAGGACAGGTCGGATATGTGCCTCATAGATCATAAGCAGCTGACTGGAAGTGGGCTAGCTTCTGGCCCTTAACAGAAAACCAAGTTTTAGGGATGCACTTTTAGCAATTGATCTCACGTGATTTTCACGTAAATAAATAAGTAAGGAGTTGATAAGAACTTGCATGGACTGTTGAAATCCAGTTATCCAAATAATGATAAATAATTGTTAGTATAGTCAGTTTTTGATTACGGTAATAAATGTTCATCGGAAGCCTTACCAGATGATGTTCTTGCTGTTGACTCTGATGACTCTCTAGGTGCTTGGAAGGTTCACTCTTGTGTACCACGGCGTTGAACCCGCTGTGCTTGTCTGCGGTGTACTCCACGGTTCTTACCGAACCGTCTGGTTCTACCAGGGAGTATTGCCCTTTGACCACATCCCCGTCTCTGGTCTCGTGGTGGCTCTTGATGTCCCCAGTGTGGTAGTCGTTGACACCGTATTTGAAAGAGTATTTCGGATGGGCCTTGAAAGCAAATACATTCGTTTATCTATGATAGAAGTCGATAATATCTTCACAGTACTAAATCTTAGAATTATCTGTACATATTTCGGACTATTCAGTATCATGGAAATGTATGGAATAAATCCATTTTTTCTGTGACGGGAAAAAAGTTTGGCATTTCATCTCTGTTGGCAGGTTATGAAATGTCACTTTTCATAAATTACTTTTTTCCCGTGGGAAAAAAGTGGGTACTTTTTTCCCGGATATATATCACACATATATACACTGTTGATGGCTTTTGTTGTGCTATAGTTCCGAAAAATGAGTCAATAATACCGTCTCCGAGAAAGAACTGCAAGTCCTTCTATCTTCCATTCGACTTATCGGTTACATATATCACTAAAAAACCACAGAATTCGCAATTTTTAAAAATCAAATCACAGAATTAGACTGACAGAAGTGACATCAGATATTTGATTACTTCAAAAGAATGATAAAGATGCCTACAAAGCAGTTGTCCCTACTGTTAAAAACTTAACATTTCACGTCGATAATTTTCAGATTTCAAAATAATGTAATATCTTCTCAATATTGATTTGTCCTTCCTTCTGTCACAGAAAAAAATAGTGCATTATACACGGGAAAAATATTACATTTTAGCTCACGGTTTTTTGTCTCCCTCCGCTAAGCGTCGGGAGACAACACAACCTGGAGCTAGAATCTACTACTTTTTTCCCTTGTATAATAAATAACTATTATTACAAACAGGGGTCATGATATGACACCCCATTCAAAAAATTCTCTAATTGCCTATTTGAGAGTATTATTATTGAAAATGTATTCATAAAATTAGAATCAGAACTTTTTATTTAATAAAATAGGAGATTAGGACTTTTCCTTATAGAGTGTCCAATTTGGCCCACTCTGTACAGTAACTTGTAAGTAGTATCTTTCCTTTCCCGTATGCTATTACGAACATTCTTTACTGAGCAAACCCCTCATGTCTTGCAGTGTTCTACATATCATAGCAACAAAACCACTTTCTTTAAACACCGTGTATAAACTGATGGCCACATCACATTTCGAATGAAGGCGAAATGACATGATCACAATTAAGTGAAAATCCATTCATGAAAATATATTCTTCGAGTATCTGAACCTGCCCACGCATTATTATTATTATTATGATGTCGTTCCATACCTAATTTGTTTCAATTAAAGTTTAATTTATTCATCAAACCAATCAATAGAAGGAGTGATTATAGAAAAATGTGATTTATAGTAGGATTGTGGGGTACACAAATGAAGAATATCCTTGATGTGTCTTTTTATAATAACACAATCATGAATCAACTAAGCAGTCACATTTACTCGTATTCAACTTTTTTTCAATGAAAATAATTGAAGGGATCAATTACAATAAATTGGTACATACTCGAAACTTGAGAAGATACTGGATTATTAGAGATGAAGTCTTATCAATAGTGAATATTTAGTATATTCCTAAATCCAGAAGAGATGAACGTGGGAGTATTGAATTAGCCACTGTGTTATCAAGATCTTAAGACAATCGAACATCTGATGGGACAACGGATGAACTAGTAAATACTTCATTTGAGGGAAAGTAGGTTGGCAACAACAAAATTTCTTACTTTCTTACACTTGGGGTTTCGCGGGAATGATAACAAAGATATAGGGTGTGAAAAATCGAGATTTTTCAACTTCAAGAATTTCTTGTATTGAAACTATTCATAATTAGTCAGAATGGTTTTTATATCTCTATCTCAACTTTTCATGTACAGGGTGATTCACCATAAATGTCCCCCCCTCTAGCTCAGTTATTCTTGAACCGATTGCAAAATTTGAAATATCATCTGAAATTATTTTTGATAGAGTTTTTTTCTGCTTCATCAGAAAATACAAGGTGCTCGGAACAAACGATCTACAGGGTACTATATGATTTTTTCAAATGGAACACCCTATTTTTCATTGTATTTTTAGATTCTCTCTGAAGAGCTGATTGCATCAATGTATCACACTTGTGGTCTAGCAAAAATGATTACAGAGATACTACTCATTATCGGTCTAAACGGCTTTCTTGTCCGTGTCTCAACTTTTAATTTACTATCTACTGACATTTAATGATTGGAATAGATACAGGGTGATCAGAATTCTGAATCTTGAACCACACTGTAGATGTTCCAATTAAATGTCAGTAGATAGTAAATCAAAAGTTGAGATCGGGACATTGCAGCCGTTTTGACCAATAATGAATAGTTTCAACACAAAAAAATACAGAAGTTGAAAAATCTCGATTTTGAAAACCTTATATCTCTGTAATCATTCCCGCTAGACCCCAAGTGTGATGAATTGATGAAATCAGCTCTTCAGGAAGAATCTAAAAATACAATGAAATGCAGGGTGTTCCATTTGAAAAACTTAAGTAGTACTCTGTAGATCGTTTGTTCCGAGCACCCTGTATTTTCTGATGCAACGGAGAAATAAATACTGAAAAACCATTTCAAATGATCTTTCAAATTTTCAAATCGGTTGAAAAATAAGTGAGCTAGAGGGATGGACATTTATGGTGAATCACCCTGTACTATCAATTGATATTCTATTGAAATAGATACAGGGTGGTTGAATCTCAATTCTGAACCACCCTGTACCTATTTCGATTAAATATCAATTGATAGTAAATAAGAAGTTGAGATAGGGACATTTTCACCATTTTGTCCAACTCTCCAGGGAGAATCAGGAAATGGAATTATATATAGGGTGTCCCATTGCAAAAATCAAAGTTGTTGCTACTTTTCAACATAAGCGGCAACGTCACAGTGCTGAAAATATTTCAGGTCGATAGAGCACAAATCGAAGGCACCAAGTGTTCAAAATAATAACAAGTTACGTTCTCCAGAATTTCTAATGTGCCTTCCACCGTGAATCAGCCTGTATATCATTCAATGTATTGTAATTGAATTGAAGAACTATTATACAGGTGGTAATTCTTCAATGACACAAAATGTGTCGACTTTCGTGAATGAAAGATTATGTCACTTATATCAATTCAGAGATCTCTCATTGTACAGATGTCGCATGTCTCAAGAATAAACAAACTGCATTCAACATATGTTCAGTAGAGACTTCAATAGCATTAGTTTGACTAGTTACATCTTTGCATTGATGTAATACCTCAAAATTGTTTCCTCATTGTGATCTTTTGCATAAAAATAAAATTACCATACTTCATATCTCAACGCATGAAAGTGACTCATTTTCTCAGTGTATAGTCAGAAGGTGCGGAAACAAAACATCCGAAATTCCCACATTATGATCTGAATGTCTTACAGATGATACATCAATAACTATTGTAGGAAATCATTCACATAAATCATAAAACTACTATACTGCAAATGTTCATAAATGAACGAAACTGGTAGATATCTATATGTTACACAGAACATCGAATTCAATCCTCCCGAAATCTATGCAATGATTCGTATAGACGAATAAAATCGCAAGTGTTTCCTTCCTAAATGCTGAACTGTGCATACATTGTTCAGGAACGCTTGACTACCTACAGACCAGTTTCGAGCTCAATGAGCTATCATCAGTGCAGGGTTGTCTCCAGATAGCATTCCTGACCACTATCTGGTGCAAACATGACTCAACGTAAAGACGTATTTATTACCCAAGAGGCGTACGGCATCTGCGAGATGGATGAACGCCACCTGAGTAGAAGCACAGGAAAGACACACTCCAAAACAAATTCCCATGAAATGTATTATACATATATTTTCGTCAAGTAGTCCTGTCCTACAAGATAATGATTTATTTCTCTTGATTCCTCACGGGTTTTTCACGGTAGTCGTTCGTTAGAAGTTTTTCTGGATAGAAAAAACTCAGACTTCCGAATCTTTGAACTTCAGGTTCATTCATCAATCTCTCCAGATGCAGAATCAGATTCTGAATCTGATTTTCCAATGAATATTGGGTGTCATATTTGAAAAATCGAACTTTTTCAACTTAGAAAATGATGGAATTGGTCATAGAATTAAATACCCTGCATGCATTTTCAATCTGAATTTCCAAAATATCATACTTGTGCTTCATTCGACCTCAGAAGGCTATATACATACATCTTTAAAATTTTCTCAAGAATCTAAAAACTATTGAACATGAACATGAAACATGATGAATCTCATCATGAAATTTTCTTGCAAATTCAAAAATTAAATAATATACTGGGTATTTCATTCAAAATAAGGGCATTAATTCAAAATATTGGCGACTTCCGGTATAACCCTAAGTGGTATGTCCTTGAGAATATTTGAAAATGTAAGTGAATGATGAATAACCCTGAGGTCAAAAAATTCAGAATTCTGAGTTTGTTTTTTCCACAAAAACTCAGGTCTATTTGTCACGTTCACCCTGATTGGTAAGTAGTGCGATTTTTCTAGATTAACTGTTGAGACTTTATATTCTAGCCAGCTTTCAATCCGAGTGAAGTCTGCTTGTGCTTCATATCCGAGAATTTCCTAATATTTTGCTTCAGCAAATCCAATTATATCTCCACTACTTCACAATGAGAAGTAATAGTAGAGAAATTGTGGTGCCTACTTCCGCAACAAATACCTACTCACATAATAATCAACATGATGTTCTTCTTTTGCTTCGTGATGTCCATAGTCACTGGATGAGAGAGTCTGAGGTAAATGGACACTTTCTTGATGCCTGCCGATATGTGATTGAGCTTGATGGTCATCCCCATTGCTATAATATTGAGCATAGTGTAAAGCGTTGTCGGCGTGATTTTCTTCTTGGGCGTATTGACTGATGATCCTTGGGTAAGCTAGGACTGTTTCCAAGACGAAAAGGATAGTGATGACCTGAAATGCCATAGGTGCTAGAGATCTACATTATTTTCTGACATTATTCCGAGTAGTAACAGAAAGCAAATGAAAGGGGATGATGTCACCTTTCCGAATATCCAAACGTGCCACGATTCAAACTCATCTAAAATAGTGTCACTCCAAAAGTTCAGAAAAATTCCAATACATATACCTCCTCTCCCCTATCGTGAGCTACGAGCAATAAAAAAAACATGGTCATTTTTATAAACAACCATCATCAAAGCTTTCGAACACACTGATTCTAGTATAGTATGAAGTGAAACAATTTAGGTTCATCCTTATTATGCAAAGCAGAAACGACTGATTTAAATGAAACCAAGTTAAGCAACTAGCATTATTCCAGTCTTGTAGAATATCGAAAGTGTTCGAGTATCATCAGTGTCTACTGTCTGATACATGAATTTTCAATGGCATGTGAGAATGTTGAACGGGTACATCATTGATCTATTATCGGCCTAGTAAAGATGTCATGCAGAAAACTGCTGATTTTTTCATTAAAAAGTATGCATTCATGTGTAACATCTACTGAATTATCACGTTGTTATTTATGCAAATTGGATTTCTTGAAGAAATAGTAGTAGTATACGGATAAAAATAAGTTAAGTGAGATATGTTACGTGATTTGAATCGTTTAATTGACAGCCTCAAATCACTTGAAAAGTTAATTCCCGATTTTAATAGACTTCCGGTTTTCACGCTGCGATGTTGAAATATTTCCATTCAACATATTTTCATCAATTCTAATCCAATTGATTCTTGATAATGATAAATAGATGATTATTTTATGAATAATTGTTTTCGATGTATTACAGATATAATTCGTCCTTTTCTTATTTGATATTTGAACAATAAAAGATAACTCTTTATTCCTCTATATCAGGTATCACTAAAATTTTACAGTATTCGACAGGTATGAAAGTAGATCGGTTCGATATTTTAACAGTTATTTCTAATTCCTCAAAAAACGTATCCGAAATTTTATATTTATCTTCTCTATAGGACACTGTACTTAGTAAGGGCAGGTAAGGGTATAAATCATTCAATGAAACCTCCAAACAAATGAAATCAACTCTGTGTATCTCAATTAAAGAGAATCCTGATGAGAAGAATGTTAATAAGGAGAATCCCATATTATTTCTTCGATCTATTCATATTTTCCACTTGGTCTCCCGGTTTTGTTACATACCTTTTCAACTATGAAAAAAAGCCCAAATCCTCATCAACTATGTTTGAATACAATTAATGTGATTTCATATGAACATTTTCCTAACAGCCCTTAAAATGTTCTCATTTTTCGTAGAATTCATATCAACATTCATCAGGGGAGTTGTCGATCACTACACAAGAAAAATTCTCATCGGAAATATTCTGAAAATCTGTATTGCTGATGCGCAATCCACGTAAGTTTAGATGAATGAGACAATTACGTTGATGCTAATTATGATTATGATATTCAAGTTGCTATATAACCCTAATTATAATAAAGTAACTTTGATTGAGATGAAGTTTATGAAAAAATTCGTCCACTCACCTTAATTGAAACCATTTTTTTTTTCTCCTATAACTAACACTTGCGTTTAAGAGTTCACTACTCAAACTATAATTAACATGTTAGGAGAAATTGGTCTTCATTTATATATGCTTTCTTCTTCACACGAAGACGAAGATATTGATAGTAGCATGGTCGCAGGTGGGAGAGAGAAGCAGAACCGATTCACTATAGATTTCCGTGCATTAAAATGTAAGAGTATGGATTTTCTATACAGTGTGCATTTGGTATATCAACATGAATTATGTTGAAGATAAAGATTTTCAAGTGTATTTTCTTGATCGAAGGCACCAAAAACAACCTTAAACAAGGTGGCGATACGTAGATTATATTTCCATAATTTGGCCACATAACCTTATTTAGCTAGAAAATTTTCTGGATTATGTGAACAATGCCGATACTACCATGGAGTTTACTTTGGAAATTGAATCTAACAATCAGTTACCATTTCTAGATGTTCTTCATCAAATAACATCTTTGTAACAAGTGTATATCGTGGAAAGACCCATACTAACAGATACCTAAACTTTCAATCAAAGCATCAGAAGAGTATTAAGAAAGGAATAATCAAATCACTCCATGATAGAGTCAAATCAATATCATCTAACCAACAGATTTTCAATAACGAAGTCCACCAAATTAAAAATGTTCTCCAACTCAACTCCTATCCAAAGAATTTTATCGATGAGACGATTCATCGAATTGAAAACAAACAATGTCCCCCACAACAGAAACAACCATCAATCACGACAAATATAATACCATATATTCCCCGTATATCTGGAAAATTGAAACGTGTTGGTGATAAATTTCAAGTGAAAACCGTGTTCAAAACTGAAAATGCAATGAGATCAATTCTAACTCAAACAAAGCCGAAAAACAAAGAACAATCGTCAAAAAATTGTATTTACAATACACTTTGTGATTGTGGATATTTTTTATACAGGTGAAACCAAGAGACCTCTTTCAGTAAGGACGAAGGAACATAAGTACAATATAAAGAAAAGACTCATCGACAAATCAGAACTACCTGAACATATCCTTACTGAAGATGGACAACATATGGCAGAGTGGAATAATATTAAAATCATTGGAAAAGAAGATAACAACCAGATGAGAAAAATCAAGGAATCTGCTTGCATTTTTTTGAACGGAGACCATAGCATTGCTTCCTGTTCAGTTGACATAGATAGCACATGGTATTCACTACAGAAATCTGGAGAAGAAAATTGTTAATTCAAGATTAATGGAAACATCCTGTAACTCATTTGATTGCCAACGTTATCAATCGTCACTGAGAACTGGAAGTGTCAAGAAGAATACGAAGTTGTTATTCAAATATCCATTTTTTTAAGTTGAAAACGGGAGCAGATTCGTTCCCGAAACGTCCAGAGCTGAGTGAGAATTTGATATTTTCTTTATATACCTTTATTTCTCTCCTCCAACCCTTTTTCAATACAAATTATCACTGACAAGCTAGTGAATTTTTCTTTTAGGCTCTCTGATAGAGAAATTCTTTAAACGCAGTGACGTTTTGGGGCAAATCTGATTTGTCCATACTTCTTGTATATTGAAATAATATTCATATTTTTATTTTATAGAGATGAGGAAAATCCCAAAAAATCTGGAATAATGAATGTATCACCTCCTAGATTAACCTACAGACAGTATTCAATCTAATATTTTGCTGAAGATAATGATTCTCATTTCTCATTTCTTGATCGAAGGCAACAAGAAGGTTTATAAAAGGAGGAAGGAAAGCTCAAAGTCATCCTTCCTCCTTTTAAAAATTCCACTCCACTATGAGCAAACATGGACTTCTACCAGAGATTAAGAAGGTTTATGTCAATATGCAGGATCTTCAAGTATCAAAATGATGTTGTGCTCAAAGTGCTGCAGGGTTCTTCCAGAAAATTCTCCATATTTCATAAGAATAAATTTTCAAACCTCTTGAACTTTTTTCATAATTGCGTACCAACGAAAATTTTACTCGAAAGAGAATAATCATATTAACTTGAGACATTTTGGGTAATATATCAATAGCGCGCTAATATACTTCCTGCAAAATTTCCGTGATGACAAATATGTTTAAAGTTATTTCGAATCGAAGATAAATTGCATTGGAAGTCTCATCACACTATCGTTCAAGTTGTTTGTATAGTTTTTGGGAAATTAAAGGGAAACGAGTAGAGCATAATTAGGCAGTTTTACATACTTTGGAGGATCAAAAAATGGATATGTAATGTTTTTAGTTATTTCGATAGCAGATAAGGAAAGTATATTTAGTGTATATAAATACTCATTACCAACATTCTCAACTCAGTACCCATTGTGACTACATCAATAATGTTGAACATCATCGTATTTGTATTTTGCATTGGTGTATTGATACCACAGGTAACATTTTTGTCTTTACTCTTAATGCGAATCATCCATTCCTTTTCTCATTGAAAAATAGGAATTTGGTGTTGTCTCCACTTGACAGAAGTCAAAAAACATAGAATTAGTCAAAAAGTGATATTTGGGAAAACTGGTATATTTTTATATAGGTAGGTAGATTTTTGAAGTCTAAGAGAAATCACTACAAACTGAAAACACTAGAATAGTTTTTTAGACGATTCATTTTACGTAACAAACGATTTTTTTTTCTATATACTACTGTGACTAATAGTGAACGAGAAAATGAAAACCATCATTCTTGCTATATCTGGATCAAAAGCTCAGCTACTTGAGCTAACTAAGTATCTGATGGTAATTATTCAATCTGGTATTGTGCATATCCAGGACAATTGATTTACTTCCTAGGGATTCAAAATAACAATTAGTTCGAACTGTCGTGAACACGAAAATATTTATGAATGATTCCTCATCAGTAAAGTTACTTTAATCTAATATTTATCTATGACTATTCCACTCTTGATCTCGAGAATCAATCAGAATCGACCATTTTCACAGTTTCTTCTGTATTCTGGCGATATTTTTTGTTTATTAAATTTTATCGGACTTGCTCTACCAATACAGAAGCCGAATTGACCCACACATGACCCCAACAAACCTCGTTTATCAGAATAGCCTTGGTTTATCAGCGATAAAATTTTGACATCGTGTCTGGTGTCTGGTCAAGATTGCTTTGGATTCAAATCTGAGACAACTTATAATTCGCGTTATTTTGTGCGAAAGGCGAGACAATTTTGTTCTAGCTGGACGTTTCATGTGTAATTTAAAAAGTTTGCATATTTGTTGACGGTCTGACACAACAATACTGGAATTCAAATTCCTTTTTAAAGTAATCTTCTTCAATCACTCAAGTTATTGTTACTTATATAATTATCAGATGATGTAGCGCAACTGGTAGGGTTGTTTCGCTAAGATACGAAGGTCGATGGTTCGAGCCCCTCGGCGACGGCATCTTTTTTTTAAATTATTTCATGTGACATAAATTCAATTTATTTTGTTTGAATTGGATAGCAATTGTATAAACTCTTTTGAGAGCAACCATCTCCAAGATAATTAAAAGAATACTGTTTATCAAAATTGTACATTCCACTTTGTGAATAACTATAAGTAGGTAGTTAATTTCTGAAAAAATTAATTCCGTATTGCCTTACTATTATTATGTTCTTCTTCGCAGTGTGAGTTGGAATATACTTGAATTATGTTTCCTATTGCTTATATATAGTACATATATATTGTCTCATTCAATCATGAAATAGTCATACCAATGCAACTCGTGATACTATTTTTCCTGGAAATATTCGTCGATTGACATACTCCAGCTTGCTGCTCTAATTTCGCTCATGACATTGATCCAAAACTACTCGCCTACGGCTCGTAGTTTTGATAACAATGTCATTCACGAAATTACCAGGCAACAAGCTGTCGTAACAATCACCGAATATTTCCGGCAAAATATCATCACTTGTGGTATTATATATGATATAAGTTTTTAAAAGTGAAGGGAAGATTTTGACACGTCGCCCAAAGCGGGTATATCATTCACTTTTTTTTTTCTACAGAGGAAACAGAACATCGCGGATCAAATTTTGTCAAAAACTTCGGCGAATAACATTGCTCTCTGGTCTGGTACAAGCTTCACCAAAATAAATTCCGTTACATCTACCAATGAGAATGGCCATGGATTTTTTTATTATAATTGTAGATTCACTATCACTAATTGACGTTCAATTGAATAAACACTTCATATATTTTCTCATGAAAATTAATTACTTTCAGGACTAGTGCTAAAAGTATTTTACTTTTAACACCAGTGTCATAAAATGGCATTTTAGACATACCACAGCATGCGTTGAAAATGTAACTTTTACTGACCAAGGACAAAAATGGCACTTGGTTTGACAAGCGAATTTTGCATTTGCGAGGCGGAGCGTCTATTGAAGCCGAGCGAAAGCAAAATTTGCGAGTCAAACAAAGTCACTTTTGATCCGATTGAAACATGTCATTTTTTCTGCAACCGAAAACTTTCACTAAAATGAATATGTGAAGTAACCACCAATGTAACTCACTTGACAGATAATTATAATACCTTTATTATAATAATATAGGTAAGTAGGTACAAAGAGCTCAGACTACTTATTTACATTAGAATATTGGTAGACGATACTTCACTTTGTTGACATGCATCATCAGATACTACAGGCACGAATTCAATATTATATACTCAAAACTTAAATGCCGTGCTATATTTATGCTATGCAACAAATAATTTATGTGGTGAGAATATAGGAAAAATAGGTGGAGATTGTTAGGTTTGTGATTATATCAACAATAATAATAGCGTATATTTATTTCTCTACATATCCCACTGTGTTTGGCTCGGTGATCAGATGAAGGTAAACAATATCGTTGTGTGAGACAAAAAGTATTGCTGGCCGTGATTATTCGAAAACAAGTTATCCAATCAATCAGATCTCGAGAATGATTGAAATACAGATCAAGCAAGTATGTGAATCTTGAAGGCTCTCCTGATCAAAACAAAAATTTTATAAGGTGTATTTATATCTCCAGCATGGGTATGATATATCAAATCTGACTAAATCGGGAACAAATCAGGTATGCGTCCCAACCCAAATAACCAATCATAACGATGTTGTTCATTCTTGATGACTTAGTACATCCTTTTCAGTTCCTAGGAGCTAAAGTTCAACTTTACGTTCCAGGAACTCAAAAGTGTTGCCTAGCAACAAACCTATATTTGTGTCAGTAATAGGAACGTCAATTCAAGATTTCAACACATCGAGTAGAAACGTCAGTTTTCAATCAACAATCAACTGAAAATGTCATTCTCATTGATAGTTGTACAAAGAAATAATAGTAGATTGTTTTATTAGGATCAAAAGTGACACTTTGTTTGACAAGCGAATTTTGCATTCAATATCGTTGTTTGAGACAAAAAACTATTGCTTGCCGTGACTATTCAAAAACAGGTTATCCATCCCGAGAATAACGAATGAAATACAGATCCAGCAAGTATTTGCATCTTGAAGGCTTCCCTGATCAAAACAAAAATATTTGACTGAGATGTTTATAATTCCAATACTTAACTATAATAAGGTGTATTTATATCACCTGCATGGGTATGAATTGCCAAATCTGCCGAAATCGGAAACAAATCAGGTATGCATCTCAACCCAAATTACCAACCGTAACAATGTTGTTTATTCTTGATGACGTCCAGTACTTTCTTTTTAGTTCCTAGGAGCTGAAGTTCAACTTTAGCTCCTAGGAACTAAACTTCAACTTTAGCTCCTAGGAACTAAATATGTTGCCTAGCAACATACCTATTTTTGTGTCAGTAATAAAAACGTCAATTTAAGAGCTAATTCTGGTATCAAAATGGACGACTTTTGTGTCGGTTGCAGAAAAAAGACATTTTCGAATAGATATGTCAACAAATTATTGTAGAAATGATATCCTGCATTTATATCATCAACGTATCTTGAGGAAAAAATAAATCAACTCCAATAATTCCATTTTGGCAGTATTGTGGTGCGGACGGGATCCCAATACTGACAAGAGAAAGATTGAACAAGATCAGGAAGGAATGCCAGGCCAATCCAGCCACCCATATTGATGATGCAGAGCTATCCAGATTCGGCAATGGTGAAGAAGTCGATCACTCGAAGTTGGGTCCGTTTCTCCTATGCCTCCATGTTGGATTGGGTCTCCAGGAGCCGAATGGAGACTTCTCTCACAATTTCAGAGAGATAATGTCCCACGTGATTACAGAAGACAGGATGGATGATTTCATGAAAACCTGCGGGAAAAAAGCGTCTGATGATGCTGGTGAAGCTGCTATCAGCTTGAGCAGATGTATCAATACCTTTGATCCGTCACAGAATCCTTTCAAAGATTCATAAATATTTTATACCATCTAACGAAATCTCTATAATTACTTTTTAATTTGTAAGGAATAAAGTATTGAATCAGTTTCATTGGTATAATATGCATTTCTTTTTTGCGATCATTTCGTCCTTCGATCGTTGTTGGTCGAGTTCTCAAAACACATTTCCAAAAGTATTGGGAAGAGCAATACGAGGAAGTAAAGTTCCTTCTGAGCCCTTTATGAAATTCATTGCGAGCACTGTGTTAATATATTTAATTTCATCGTACATACACACTCATCTACAACGAAAATTATGGAGAAGAAAATGAAAGAAATGATACTCAAAATATTACATAATTTTCTTGAATAAAATTTTTTATTGAAACCTATGTGTCGAGATGGGCTCGAAACATGTACGATGATCTGATTTTATAATTTGATCAATATTAAAATTGTGGAGACCATTTTTTGTTTTAATTCTTGGTAATGAAGATAATAATGATTATTCGTTTTTATTATTATCAATAAAGAATTTCAATTCAGTGAATCACCATACTAACTTGTTGTTCCAATAATCATAGTTCATAGTTGTTCATAACAATTTATATTTTTCCACAAAAATTCAATGTATTGGTGTAGAACACAATAATTGGAAAATTTTACATAATCTGAACAATCATAGAATATATGTTGTGCTCTAATTGCAGCTGAAAGATAAGTAGAAGCATATTTTGTGACAAATAAATACTTGTTAGGAACATTTTCCAATCCAGTAGAATACCTATTCCTACATAAACAATGATCAACATATTCGTATTAGTGTTTTGTATCGATGTCTTGGTATCACAGGTAAAAGTTCTCAGTTTTCATTTTTAGCTTCATATTCTAGAAATCGTTCCTCAACTTTTATCTTGTTAAGTTTTTCAGTAGAGTCAAAGCGGTTGCCTCAAGGATTCGAAAATAAGAAGAAGCTAGTTGGTGACAGGGAAGGCTATTGAGAATGAAGCAGGTACTAGGGGAACAGTAGACTTCTCCATGAGCGATCACCAAATTTTGAATTGACTCTGCCGTTACTGGATGGAAATCCATAGCAAATGTGGAAACTTCACAAACGATGAGATTTCCTCAAAATTCCTTATCACACGACATGTTCCGCTAATGCAGTAGCCTTATCAGGTGAAATACTGACTACTAAACTAACCTCGGCATGCCCAAACTCATATATATCCTACTTTCCCAACCTGAAGGATGAGAATCACCTGTGAAAAGTATCGATAAACCTTCATTTTCGGAAAATAGGCACAATATCTACATTAAAATACGGTGTAACGGATTAGATTCATAGGGTTGATAGCAAATACATATACCTACTAAGAAAACAAATTCAACAGTGGTGAACTATTGAGGTCTAGTTGATCGTTAAGTAAGATGTTGGACTTTTTGAGTTTGTTAATTTCTGAATTTCCTACTTGTAGAATTTCGAAATTATCATCAAAACTTTGGTTTTCTTCTGATATACGGTTGGCGTATGTTGAATTTGTTTTCTTTTTCGAAAATTTCATCTCATGTCCAAGAATGCGCTGATTGAACATACGACCTGTCTGACCGATATACAGGGTGATTCAGGTTTCAAGGCACAAACTGAAATGGGAGATAGATCTCATCATTTTAATCAAAAAAGTTTTTACAAACATTAGTCCGATCTCGTTCAGTAGCGGAGCTACAGGGGGTCAAAGTTTAATTATTTTTTTATATTAATTGGAATATCTTCCTAGAAGATCATCATTTCAAGCATTTTAAAGGTTTTCAAAATCTACAGGTTATATATACGTTTTTGGAGGTAGAGGCTTCTTTATCCCCTCCAAACTTTTTCGTAGTACTCCTCTGGCATCTTTCAGTAATTAAATTGTGTAGATCGTTCAATTTAGAGGCTTTTTTAGCTCCCGAGTTTTTTCGAGAAACGAATCGTTTTTGAGATAAATAAGCATATACGTTCGAAATCATGTTAATTTTGCTTATGTTCCGCTTATATTGTATTCTTTGACAAAATTCGATGAGAATGCAACAAAATTTTTTTTCTAAAATTGCAATGTTCTTACTCACGAGTTCAATCTGGATAAGTAGCGGGGATACAGAGGGTAGAAGGTCAAGGTTGTTCTTAACCGACCAATACAACGTCGCGAATAATATTCGTGTTGAGCCACTGGTTGAGCCCCATCCAGTTGTATCCATATTTCTTGTCTGATATTTTGTCTTATATCATTTGGAGTAGTTGAAAAATAATATGGCATTCGACCTATCGGCAAGAATCTAAGGCCACAAAGGACATTATGTAATGATTAAGCCACATGTAAGTTACGGTAATTTACCAACCTACTCTTGGTAAATGTGGCTTTATCAGTCCACATTTTCTTTTTTGAATTATTCCTTTCGTGATTCCATTATTTTTAATCCTATCAAAGTAGTAGAATTTTTTTACGGCAACTTGGGAAAACTGAAAAAAAAAAACTTGACTTTCTACCCTCCGTATCCCCGTTACTGATCCAGATTGAACTCGTTATTTCAATTTTAGTGAGTACATTCCATTGCATTTTCAACGAATTTTGTCAAAGAATAAAATATTTAAGCGAAACATAGGCAAAATTAACATGTTTCAGAACGTATATGCTTATTTATCTCAAAAACGGTTCGTTTCTCGAAAAAAATTGAGAGCAAAAAAAGCCTCTGAATTAAACGATCTACACAATTTGATCACTGAAAGATGCCGGAGGCGTACTACGAAAAAGTTTGGAGGGGATAAAGAAGCCTCTACCTCCAAAAACGTATCACCCTGTGAATTTTGAAAATCTTTAAAACGCTTGAAATGATGATCTTCTAGGAAGTATTGATCACACCAAATTTCAAAATGATATCTCGAAAAGTAAGCGAGATATTTTAATTAATAGAAAAAATAATTAAACTTTGACCCCCTGTAGCTCCGCTACTGAACGAGATCGGACTTATGTTTATAGAAACTTTTTTGATTGAAATGATGAGAACTATCTCTCATTTCAGTTTGTGCCTTAAAACCCCTGTATACCTTAGGGCAAGATCCACAGTTGAGTTTATAATCCCCTGATTTTTCGAATTTGGACGTTTTGTCTTTATTATTTTTGATTAACCTTCCCAAGGTGTTGTTATTTGTTCTATATGCTACCTCTGAGTCCTGCTACTGAATGTCCCTCTTTCAAAAGTAGATTTCAATAAAGAACTCAATATCATGAAGCAAATTGCAGTCAACAACGGATATCACGTTAATTTGATAGACAGTATTCTTTCTAAAGAACTCCATAATGGAGGTATTCAAGAAGTTTGTCTTACCATCAAAAATAATAATCAGAATTATAGAACTTCAACATATTTCGATTCATCAACTGAAAAATTAGCTTCATTTCTACATAAACAGGACTCAAAAGTATACAGGAACATGAGATGGATTTTTTGAAGAAAAAAAAATCATCGTTTTGATGATAATTTCGAAAGTCTGCACGTAGATCATGAAGGAATAAAACGATAAAACTCAATCATTTCATTTAACGATCAACTAGACTTCAAAAGTCCACCACTGTTGAATTTGTTTTCTTAGTAGGTAATAATACGTATTTGCCATCAACCCTTTCAAGTTAATCAGGTACACCGTATTCCAATGTAGGTATTGTGCCTATTTTCCAAAAATTAAGGCTGATCGAACGAGGTAAAATATATAGGGGTCACCCTAGATAAAAAACTCACTTTCAGACGACACATCACAATACGACTAAACCTGGGTGAAGCCGCAAGGCAAAACCATAGGTCGCAGAAGCAACATGGCTCTAGAGTTGAAGCTGCGCCTAATAAGAACCATTCTACTTCTAATAATGTTGTATGCATTAAGTGCATGGGGCCAATGCGCAGGAACATACAAAAGCGAATACAGGCATTTCTAAATGTCTCAATAAGAATGGCAGTAAACGCCCCATGGTATATCCCAAATAGATTTATCTATAGGGACCTGAAGATAAACCCAGACTACATTGACAACTTCATAAGACAACACTCGGAGACTTCATTCGGAAGAACGGAAACCCACGATAACCCGCTACTGCACGACCTGACTAATAGACAAATAAATCAAGACCCGCGCTTCGGAAGAATAAAGTACAGGCGCCCAATTCACCAAATACCTATAAGATAATTGAATCCTTTGATACCCTATATAAAAGAGTGAACCAATAATAATAATACATAAACTCAAATTTGCTTCCCATTAGGGTAGGGAACCACCACGCAAAGTCAGGCTAGGAAACACACATTTAGCAAAAAGGTTTAGAAGTCGGAAGACTGAAACCAAGTAAGGGGTTTTATAAAACATATGCAGATTGCCAAATGCATGAGGTTGAAGTCCACTCGTTAGTGAGTGGGGGTGGATGGACATGGGGATGAGGAGCTATCATATAACGTAAGCTAGTTATATGGCGGCACTTGATGCTGGGCATCCAACCTTTCGGGGGGGGGGGGTTACTTTATTTCATTGATGAAGCTACTGTGTTACCGAAACATGTCGTATGATTGAGAATTTTGTGGAAATCTCATCGTTTGTGAAGGTTTTTGAATTGAAAATATTGGCAATTTTGAGTATAAAGAACTCCTGAATACACCTCCAGAGAAAGGAAAGTTAACTAATTTCATTTTGTTAGATCCAAGGGGCGGACAAAGATCCCAGAGAACGGTTCAACAAGATCAGGAAGGATCGCCAGGCCAATCCAGCCACCCACATCGATGATGCAGAGCTATCCAGATTCGGGAATGGAGAAGAAGTCGATCACTCGACATTGGGCCCATTTCTGCTATGCCTCAACGTCGGCTTGGGTCTCCAAGAGCCAAACGGGGACTTCTCGTCCAGATTCAGAGAAATAATGTCCCGCAAGATTGCAGAAGACAGGATGGATGATTTCATGAAGACCTGTGGGAAAAAGGCGTCTGATAATGCTGAGGAAGCTGCAATCAGTTTGAGCAGATGTATCAATACCTTCGATACGCCACATAATCCTTTCGAAATTTCTTGAATATGGCACCACCTAACGGAACCCCGATACAATCTTTGTTGATTTGTATGGAAAAAATAATTGCATGATTTTTGTTGGTATATTACAAAGTTGGCAGGATATACATTATATTCATAAACTTGTATTTTTTACCAACATTTTACATTCCTATATACCTACATAAGATCTCTGAAATTTGTTTTTGTGACAGCAACTTCCATTCAATAAAATAAAATTGGAACACAAATGAACATGTTTATTTATACTAATATGATGCAGAGGAATGATTTGTTTGTTTGTTTGTTTGTTCATATTGAATATGCTCGGGAACTACTAGACCGATTCGAATTTTTTTTTTTTCATTAGAAGCCGACAGTATCTCTGATGAACATAGACTACTCTTTATCACTTATAATTACAAGATAGCTTTTTTTTGTCGAAGTTAACTCGACATGTATCAATGAGAAATTTGTTTTTGGATGTATGATAAATTGATATTCATCATACAGGACGTGGAAAGAAATTCGGAATTGAGAAAACCTAATCACGAATCTGCGATTGAGGTATTAAACATAACAAGTTTCCATCGTTCAAGTTTGAACCCCTTGATCGGGTGAAAGTATTGAAGAGGAATATTCTCATATACATATATTCATGAACACAAGCAAAACGGATATTTTCTAGGTTCATTCAACAGAAAACAATTTCTTTCCTGGCTATATGCCACGACGAATATTGAATTACATCTATTGAACACACACGATAAGAACTTGAAAACAAAATCTTCTGAAGTAGAGAATTTGCATTCTCCTTCATATAAAGATATGCATACATATAATATCATTCTGGATATTCAACAGAAAACAACTACTTTCCTGGCTATTTGCCACGTCGAACATTGGGCTCTTGGTTTTTCCTCAACCAGCGTGAGGAACCTTGTCTTGAAAAGTCCCACAGTGGAAAAGTATGTGTACTGCTGTTTCCTCCTCTTCCTGACAGAACCTGCACAGTAGTTTTATCATACTCATGTGTTTGTTCAGCCTACAATGCACTGTGAGAAGTCCCACTAGTATTCTAGCTGTACTTCGTTTCTGTTTCAGTAGATATTTTGTGATTGTTGGCGATGGTTTTTTAATAAACTCTTTTGCCTATCTCATTCCTGGCGAGTTGTTCGACCATTCTTGAGATATGGTTTGCATCCATGATTTGATAGTTGTCTTTTGTATAGCTCTCGCAATCACAAAAGGGTTCTGGGCCATTCAGAGCTTTGTTTGCTCCTGCTCGGGCAAGTGAGTCTGCCTCTTCATTGCCCCTGTACCCTGTATGTGCTGGTAACCATGCTAGAGTCAGGCAGTTCTGACTGCCCGCAGTTCATTCAGGGTTTCTTAGAACTCCCATACTAGCATTGAGTTAACTTGCATTGAGTTAACTGCTTTGATTCTTGCCTGGCTATCCGAATAGATTGCAATGGTTTTCCCTTTGAACTCTTGTCCTACCATTTTTTTCACGCAATGATGTATTGCAATGATTTTTGCCTGAAACACCGTCGCGTATTCGCCTAAGCTCAGGAGATTCTTGTCTTTGGCTTTTGGCTTGGCCCCATAAATACCAGCTCCTGACCCTTCCTCAGTTTTTTCAAAGCTATATTTTGGAATTATGCCATCTGTTGGCATTCCCATGATAGAGTCGCTTTCCAACTTCTCCTATAGCTTCTTGTAGATTTTACCGTGCGTGTTGCTTATATTTGCTTGACCCCTGGACAATTCACACACGACTACTCTGGCTTCGCCATGAATGCATATTTGCAGTGGTGGCAAGTTCGAGAAGACCTCTAAAGCGGCTGTTGGAGTGGTTTTCATTGTGGCGCTTAGGAAAGCTTGCCTTTGAATGGCACTGAGCCTTCGAATCACTCCAGACTGTTGTGTCTTTGGCCACCAAATTACCGACCCATATGCTATCATGCTGATGACACTGGCATAGAGTCATGTGGTCTTTTCTGGTTGATGGGTCCAATTTGTTCCGCACATTCGTCTGCACAGATTGAAGGCTACTGTACTTCTCTGAAAAATTGTTTGTAGGTGTTGATTCCATGTTAACTTAGGGCAAACAGAATTTCTACCCCGTTGAGTACTGGTGACCTTAATCCTTCTAGTACTCTCTTTTTCGTGAAATTCTCTATAATGGTTTTATGAGGGTTCACTGTTCACTTCACATCATTTTGATAGTATTCAATACTTTGATAACACTATGAATGAGTTTAGTAAGGATTAAATGATGAGTATGCATATATCTGGACTTGCAGAAATTTTCAAGGGCAATAACTTCGTAACGAAGTGAGACAGACATTTTATTTATTGAGGTACTAAAATTATTTTGGTTCACTCAACCAGCCCTATCATTCACGACATGACCTTTCCAAACAGCCAGTATACGTAAATGTATAATGAAAATATGAATAGCATATAAAAACTCCAGCTTTGCTGAGATAAAGCAAAGTTTCATAAAATTTCCGGAATTTTGAAATTCTATAAAACAAACTTGAAACCGGAATAGGTGTCTGCCATTGAATTGTTCAATAAAAAAATTACATAATTCGAGATATTAAAACGGCAGACATGCAAGTTTTTTGACTGGACACGCCGAAAGGAACCGTCGACAGGGATAGTGAATTCCCATTTCACCTACGGCAGATGGAATAGTATACCTAGTATCAACATGGATTTTTCCAACATAGGTACCGTAAGTCGGCTGATTGCTAGCTCTTATACTATTGATGTGGTCAGCATTTTGCGATGTGTGTTTGATATTTTATAATAATTATAGGATCATATGGAAGTCAGATCGAATGCTTGAAACACACTCAAAAAAATGTATAATGAACTCCATTACACGTTCATTATCGTTTGAAACACGTTGAGCACAATTAGGAGGTTTCACATACTTTGGTTAATCATGAAATAGGTATTTTGTTTTCAATAGAGCTGATAACAAGGATATATCATATATAAATACTCATTACCAAATATTTAAAAACAAGTAGTCAGCGTGACTATCCATCAATAATGATCATCGTATTTGGATTTTGTATTGGAGCCTTGATACTCCAGGTATGTGTCTCCTATGTATATCATTCTAAATTGTGCAATAAAACAGAGAAAACTTTCAAGTTCGATTCCTCAATTGTGTTCAAGATTGTGGGTACGTTCGCTTTCAAATAGCTTCATTTTTGGTTACAATTCATTTCTGGATAGGAAAATACTATTGAAAACTCATTGATTCAATAACTTTCAGCAACTGTTGTAAAATTCTATAATTCTTTCAATATTAGAGTACCTACAACTTCAAGCATTCCATTAATATCAGATGCTCTAGGCATTCTACTCTGTATCATTATTCGTCATTGAGGGCTAAAATGTTTTTTCTCCAAATGACATTGAAAGTGACTTTTCAATGACACTTAACAGGCAGAAAAGGTTTACTTTTACTGCCTAGGCAGAGAAAGTTTGTTGCTATGTAACGTTCCATGTTGCAACTATTGATTTTCTATCAGATCGCCCTACCGAGACGTAAGTCAGAGTAGATAAAACTACTGTTTGGGAATATTTTCCTTCCCTTCCATAGACTCCTTACCCCAAGTTTCCTTCCCTTTGGCATCTTCTCACGATATTTACTGGTGCGTCAATACAAAGTTGTGCGTAAACTTAAAACCAGGAAGTAATAAAATCTGAGCCCAACCTTCCCAACTATGACTTGATTTCAATTTTATTGTCACATTACACACCTCTACTTCCCCTTCTCCTTTCCCGCACTCACTTATGTAATATTTTAAGTATGTTCAGAACGAAACAATGTTGATCCGAATATGATGAATGCAAATAATAGTAATGTTCCTAACAAGTGCGGAAAGTGATATTTTACCGCACGCAAATGCCGTTGACCCGAACGACGCGAAGCGGAGTTCGCACAAGCAGTCGAGTGCGGGAAAGACACTTTCCGCATGAATTAGGAACAATATTTTTTCTACAATCCTAGGAAATCAATTGATTTGTTCAATCAATGATTTCTGCAGATAGAAACAACTAACAATAGTGATTTATTCTCTATCTTCTAATAATTAGTGATTCATCTATTGTGGAAGCCAGCATGCCCATGTTGTTTGGCCTGTAGGTTTCAGACATTTCTAGGAAATGAGTCAAAAATACTTCCTCTTCATTTGGTGTTTCCACTCTTTTACTATTGCAATATTCAATGAAGCCTCATACCTTTCTCAAGACTTCGTTGGCAATATCTCTTCTGTATCGCACCTGTAGCTGGAAGTTTTTCATCGCAATTCCACTGAATCGAAAATGACAGAAACGCTATGTCTGTCACTCTGAGAATTACATTCTAATTTGTGTTTTGATTGACCTGACAACAATTGCATATAAACACCCTTCAAAGAAAGCGGCATTAACCCTGATAATTCAATTCTACTATAGATTCAAGGAGTGGAGGAGACCCCAGGAGAACGATTCAAAAGAACCAAATGCGAATGTCAAGCCAATCCTGCAACCCACATCGATGACGCCGATCTATCCAGATTCGGCAATGGACAAGAAGTCGATCACTCGAAGTTGGGTCCATTCCTCCTATGCTTCAACGTCGGCATGGGTCTCCAACAACCAAACGGAGACTTAGTTCCCAATTTCAGAGAGATCGTATCACAAGTGATCCCAGCGGACAGGATAGATGATTACATTAAGACCTGCGGAAAGAGAGCTTCTGATGATGCTGAAGAGGCTGCGATTATTTTGAGCAAATGTACCAATGACTTCGATCCGGCACACAATCCTTTCCGAGACCCATGAACATCCAACAGAACTTCAATACTTATATTACTTTAATATGGGAAGGAATAAATAATTGCTTTTTTGCAACCGACAAAAAAGTCGTCCATTTTTGATACCAAAATTAAATCTTGAATTGATGTTCCTATTACTGACACAATAATAGGTATGTTGCTAGGAAACACATTCAGTTCCTAGGAGCTAAAGTTGAACTTCAGCTTCAGCAGGAACTAAAAACGATTTACTAGAGGTCATCAAGAATAATAGTAGATTGTCTCATTAGGATTAAAAGTGACACTTTGTTTGACAAGCGAAGCCGAGCGAAAGCATAATTTGCGAGTCAAACAAAATCACTTCTGATCCGAATGAAACTTGCTATTTTTCCTTCAACCGAAACAATTAAGTCGAATTAATATGTGAAGATGTGTGAAGTAAACACCAATGCCGTGCCATATGTATGCAGCAGGTTTATTCAATTTCCAAGGATGTTCCACTGTGTTTGATATATCAAGCCAGTATGTGAATCTTGAAGGCTTTCCTGATCAATACAAAAAAGATCGAATGGTAGTCAACTAGGAATTATTGAAAAAACAGTAAAATTACTCTACCGCCCGACCACTTCCTACTCCTTCATCGCCCTAGGGCGCTAAAGTGCTACTTTACGCCCACGAATCCTGGCGATAAAGTGCCACTTCACGACCGGTCGTGAATAAATGGCATTGGAGGAGAGCTGATGATTATTCGAATAATTCGATGGAGTATCGTCCATGATAACAGCGATAGAAGAGTTTTGCAACCTTCCTCCGATGATGCAAGGTTTGCAGCTTCCTATAGCTTCTGAAAGGTAGCTCTGACTATATTCATAACAATTTCATGTCATCTCATGATATAGCTCGACTGATTGGTATAGTTCTTCAAAAATACTGTTGCTCATGTCTACAGAACGTTACATTGTGTAAGAATCATATCGCCCCTATTGTTAGATTTTCTCCTTCGTTGCTGCAAATATTGGTATATCAGAGAAGCATGACGCTATATGACGCTGGTATCGTCAGCAAAACTGAAGAGGGTTGAAGGCCATCCTGGACCAGATGGTTGGTATGCAGTGAAGAAAAGTATTGGAGACTGAATGGAGCCTTGTGGTACTCCTGCATTGGTAGGCAGTGTATCTAAGCCACTCTCGTCAACAACTACATGAAGATATTGGTGATAAAGGAAACTGGTCATTCAACGTACGATACGAAAGGCAAATCATAGGAAGGTAACTTATTCAGGAATGCTTCGAATATATCTAAGAGTAATGGCTCTAGGTCCTCCATATTTCCCTAAGAGTGAATCCTAGATACTTGTTACATAAAGCTGAAAGGTCGAAGATTTGAAAAATGAAACAAGTTGTCATAACTGTGTCATACGTATAAATGGGAACTTTTTTCATTAAATATAACTAGGAAATCATCCACAGAAATTGAGTTATCATGACCTCACTCATAGGTTGAAACAAATTCGAGTAGACCAAAAACTGCGCAACTGAGAAAAATAATCGACGTGTCTGAGCGTCATTCCCGCTCTGGCCATTTCGAGATTTTAACGAATTTGTTCCAACTTCAAGTGCTCACTGTATACAACCCTGAATATCATTTAGACTGTGGATTACTGCAGATCTCTCATATTATCATCAATTAATTCACTCGTAAACTGCAAACTACGATTAGCACTGATGTAAGCTAACAATTTTACAATTATGAACTCTTTGATTGAGTCCTCGAAATGCTCAATCAAAACTGTAAACAATTATATCAAACCGTATAATTGAATTGATTAGCCGTTTTATAATGCTCGTTGCAAAACCACGAAGTTCAATACCGTGACTAGTCGCCGCTGTTTCTTCACTTGTCGCTGGTGACAACAAGCCATGAATGCCTAAATTTTGGTGTAAACAGTCGAAAATTTGAATAAATATCACATTGAACGCCAGGAAGCAAATGAAGCAATCAGTACATTTTCTATTCCGGAAACTTTTACTCGTTTTGAATTTTTTTTAAGAAAGTATTACGTAAGACTTGCAATCGTGCGTTGGTCGCTTTACGATTTATTGAGGATGATATACCTAAATAAATCAGAGTAATTGGCGGGTATGAAAGTTTAGCACTCAAGAAACTCGATTCACTTAGCATTTATGAATAGCTCCTATGAAATTATGGTAAATCTGATGATGTAGGTTCTTCAAATACATGTGTTCCACCTTCAGAACCCTATTGTCATGCAATTAAAAAATGAAACTGTTTTGTATCATGTATCTAGCGTATGAAGTAGTTGAACTGTATATCCGTTCTGTGTCAGACTTTCATGAAGCGAAGAATTAAATTTTTTCAACTAGGTTTCTTCGAAATAAATTTTTATTCTTCTTCATCTTCTCGGCATGGATGGGCAGGTGCATAGACTTTTGCACTCAGGCCTCTTCAGTCGGGCCCATTGTCGGCAGCTGGACATGCCAATTATTTCTTCTATGTCGAAATTTAGCAGCTTCTTCAAAATAGATTATGGAAATTATGAATGTCAAAAGGACCGGGCCTTGGAAAACTCCATGTATTATGGTTCAGAAGTTGTGTTTAAATTTTGACTAATTGTTGTTGTCTCATCGATGAATTGGAAAAACCATGTACGAGAAACTGCATTAAAACTGAGGAAACTCATACCCTCATTTTACAATTTCTCCCCTCCCACGTTCTTCGCATGTTCTATCATACAATGGTCCACTCAGTCATCATGTACGGTATAACTATCTGGGGTACTACATACGGATAAGTATAACCACCCTACAAAAAACTTTTGTGCGACTTGCTGCCAAGGTGCAAACAGAAGATAACCCTCTGAATCACTCTTCAAGTCCCTCAAGATAGGTAACATCAGACACACTTGTTGCATAGATTAGAATAGAATAGAATACTGCATTCAGAATAGAATAGAATACTTTATTCCACCACATTACGTACACTGTACATTTGTAGCCAGTCAATGAGTTAGAACTATAAAAAATAGAACTGTAAATAAAATGAAGTTAAAAGACAAACAATAAGAAGTTAAAAGACAAACAATATGAAAATAGCGATACAGATTAAAAATAGAGAACAAATATGGAAAAAATATGAAATACAGGTACATATTGATAGCGACTTCATCCATATTAATACTCAAGCCAGTAATTCCTCATGATCAGCCTGAAAATATTCTTCCAGTGGGTAGAAGCAATGTTCCAGGAGATATTGCTTTATTTTATTCTAAAATTCAATGAAACAGAGATTTTCAATTCTATGAGGCAATATATTGAAAATGTTGTAATCCAAGGAGTTTTTCTGAGATACAGTACCTAAGTCTAAACCGAGGATTACGTTTCTTCATCGCATGTCTGGTGTCATGGTCATGAATATCACTATGAGTTCTGAGTATGTTAGATTGTTTGTGAACCTGTTGAAGTGTGTTATAGATAAACAAAGTTGGTAATGGCATGATGCCATATGCGATGAATAAGGTTTTACAGTGTTCTCTATAATATCATTGCCTTCTCCTGCAGGCGAAATATGATAGGAGCATGAGAAGAGTTTCCCCATAATAAAACGCCATAATTTATATGACTGTGGAATAAAGAAAAGTAGACAGTTTTCAAAGTTACAGAATTTATGATACTCCTGAGTTGTCTGAGGAGAAATATGGTACTTGACAGTTTTTTCTGTGAAAGCTCATTATGATGGTGCCAATTTAGTTTCTCATCAAGCGTGATCCCTAGTAAATTCACGCTATTACCTTTATGGCCCGAGGGATGCGTTGACATTACAATTTTTTGAGTTTTATTGGTATTTAACTTCAGTTCATTATATTCTAACCACTCCTCAGCTCTTTTTTCGATAATCTCTGTTTCGGTGATGAGATCTTGATAATTACTTCCAGAACAAATAAGAGTAGGATAATTTTTCTAGAAAAATATTATGAGAGACACAATCGAAAGCCTTGGTTAGGTCACAAAAAGGTGATGGCAGTATGATTCCCCATTTCAAGACCCTCGACTATCTCTCTCACAACATTCTTCACAGCCTGTGATGTTGATTCATTCTTGCGAAATCCAAATTGACTATTATTCAAAAAGTTATTGGATTCACAGTAATTCTGAATTTTATTTTTCAAACGAATCTCAACCATTTTATAAAATATGCAGATAATAGAAATTTGCCGAAAATTATCCACTTCCGAAAGATTACCCTTTTTAGGAATAGGAACTACTCTTGAATATTTGAAAATATCAGGGAATTTACCGCTACCGAATATGAGATTAATCAAGATGGTCAGAGGATCTACAATAATTTCTAGGGTTTCTATTATTATTCGGCTATCCATGTCATACGTGTCTAGACTATTACTATTATTTAATAATTTAATCGTGTCCATTACATCCACATTCGTTACTGGTAATAAAAAGAAAGATGATGAAGGAACAGGAAAATGTTTGAAGTTTAGTAGTATAACATCTCCATAATCTGGTATGGTTTTAATCAGAGTTTCTGCTACACTGACAAAAAAAGTATTGAAATCCTTTGCCGAAATGTCACAATCAGGGTCACCTTTTTTGTTTGTGTTCCTATTGCATTTAAAGTTTACTAACTTCCAACTAGCTTTTGATGTATTACATGTAGATGAGACGTATTGATTATATGCTGCCTTTTCAGCATCTTTTAGTTTATTCTGGTAATCTTTTTTCAATGATTTCATAAATATTTGTGAAGCTCTAAAAAGATATCAATACTCATTACACATAGACTTGTCCACGAGAACAGCAACAAGAACTTCAACACAAAAATCATTCTACTGTCTAGCGCCCCGGATCATGAACAATGTCCCAGAAAGTATCTTTCTGAATTGTACCATGTCATTCAGCCGATATTCAGGGAAAGTATCCGAATATTTTCTAGAAACTAATGTACAACATCTGTTCACGATAAATGTTCAATAGAAAAACTCTCTCAGTAGTTTCATTTGTATTAATTGAGCTAATATATATTTACAGTGTGACCCACTTCTGATGCAAACACCCCTGTATCATACGTAATCGTTGGGTGAGGTCCTGAAATTTGCTGAAGCGAGAGATATACCAAAAATGCACTTCATGGCCAAGTGGAGACATCTTCAGTTACATACACTTCTCGCCAATAGCCATAGAACCAACCCAATTTCCGGAAAATTATATTAGGAGGCAAAATCGGTTTTTTTACTATTCCTTTTTTCCAACAACCCGATATCATTTTTGGATTGTAAAACGGACAAGGCTAGCTTGGTCCATAGGAACGGGGTCCAAATAGTTTTTCTTCTTCAAACACATACTGTGAAGGGTCTGAGATGAGTTTATTGCTTTTTGCCCATGCAAAGGCAACCATAATATACTACGTATATTTTCTTGAAAGAATAACAAAGAATAACAAATTGGCAAGTGAATCTTGTTGGGTTTGAAACATATGTTGAATGTTATTTATGGTTTCCTTTGAATAGATACAAAATAGTTGAGTAGTAGAGATTTCTAAATACCACCCAAACGATGGAATAACATCACATGATTGGCCAGATACAATTTGGCGCTGGGCTTTCGCTTCCCTCATGTCACGTGATACACTAACTATACAAAAGTAATGTTTGTCACAATTTTGTGAAAGTTCGTTTTCGAGTTTTGTTGTGTTCAATTGTGTCACGTGATAGGCGGTGAAGTAATCTATTATTTAAAATCTCTACTTTCATTATGAGTTGAAGAGTTATCAACTACTCGAGTTGATAACTCAATTATCATGGTTCTTTACAGTTGATATTCAATTATCACTGTCTCTCAACTAGTCTTTGCAGTAAATATCAAGTCTGTTTTATGTTATTTAGGCAGGTCCAGATCCTATTTTAATTCACTTTCATTCATTTATTATCCATCTGATAATAAACATCGTTAATTCAGTTAGGTAACCGAATAGTTTGAAACAAACTGCCTATACCAAATACCTTGGTATTTGGATTGATGAAAAGTTAACATGGAACAAGCATATTGGCATGCTCATAGAAAAAAATTCCCCCATAGTTGGTGCCTTAAGAAGATGTCCAAAACTTCTCCCAAATATAGCAAATACCTACCTCTATACTCTCACATCCTTAGTAAAATGAACTATCTCATAAATATTTGGGGTTCATGTTCCAAGAATAATTTCAACAAAATATCTGTACTATATAAAAAAGCATTAAAAGTACTGTATCGTCTTCCATATGACACCCCATCAAATCAACTTTATGAAGAAACAAATACATTTTCTTTGGAAGAGCACTATCTGATAAATACTCTCAAAATTTCTTTTGATATTATCAACAAACACCTCAAATCTAACTTCATATTGGTAAGGAATTCTCAAATTCATGAACATCATACTAGACAATATGACTTGTTTCATCTTGATGCTGCTCATTCTACACTTGGTCAAAAAAAGTTCACTCACGGAGCTATCTCAAAATTCAATAAATTACCTGATGATATCAAAAGTTGCACAAATATCACCCAATTCAAAATCAAAGTCAAGAAATATATCCTCTTGCAAAGAGAAAATCAAACCTGAGTGAATGATTTCTCATTGACTAATTTATTTCATCATGTCATAATGTACTTTTCATGAGCTTTTTGTTTTATTTATTTTTTTCATATTCTGTTGTTTATTTCAATAACTATAATTTAATTTGATAACGCATGAATAATCTCATACCAGATATGAATCTGTCTGATTATTCATGTTATTCCATTGTAAATGTTAATGATTATATTTATATTTATATGAGATGCAATGTAATGTTTATAGCAAAGATTGAAATAAATAAATAAATAAATTGACCTCCTTCCTATCCCTTTTCCAGGTTTATTTGAGATTGAGAGTGAAGTTAACGTAATTCATTATTTCAAATAGAAACTCAAGAGTGTCTCATATAGTGAAGTAATAGACTTTCATCATCTTTCATTAAGGAGTATGCAAGATCAGATATTTTACTAGTACGATGCGTATACACGTGGATTTGTCACAAGCAGCAAGCTGGGACTTCAGATATAAAAGGTAAGTTGATTATGATATATTGTGAATGATTTTGTGGCATTTCAATACGACAGGTTAATGAATTAGTGATAAAGATAGGTTAATTGCTTATTAGATATCACCTAGTTTACAATGATATTACGCTCTGTGAGAGGTACTGTGCTCGACAATGGTCGAATGTGAGAGAACTTGTATTGGTCCTTCGAGCCTCCCTGAAGATGGAGGCACCTGGACACAGACCCCGTATGCCCTTATGGTAAAGATGGTATTGCATTCCATCTCTTATGAAACATGTTTGTGTCTTATGTTTCTTGTTCAGCTGTTCGACAAGATGACAAGTGTGTCCACGCCCTTGAAAGAAAAACGATATGTTCAAGGCACCCTAGCAATAACCAAAGTTGAAAATCCGAAATGCGTAATCATGTGAGTATAAAGTATATTTTCACAAAAATATTCCACTAGTTATTTCGTAGAATTTCTTCAAAATGTATGAGTAACCATCAATAATAGCATTCGCTGTTCAATCCTGACTATGTATAACAACGTCCACGGCCAATGGCTTCGATCCATTCTCGGACATGCCGTTGACGTGATAGTGGGTCAGAATCAGGCCCGTCCCTGCTTTGCACACGTCGACAGGACCGTCTCCTAGCGCCAGTATGGGCCCGAAAAATTTCTGCCGGATCTTGTTCGACAGCGTGGAAGCGGCAACGGTGTAGCTCAGATTCGTGATGACGTTCGATGCAACCCAGATGACGATTTTGTCGTGTTTGCCCAGAATGTGCGGTGTTGCCTCTACGTAAGTCCTAAAAATGACGATTTTTAAACTGAAATGCATTGTAGAGTTCATCAACAAAAAATATTGTGCTCAAATTTTGAATGGAGGTAAAAAAAAGCCCAACAGCCGTTGACATTTTATCCTCTTCAACAAACAAAACTAGGCTTTGAAAATCTGAATTGTTGTAATTTGTTCACATTTTCGAATAGAGCTTGTTGTGAATCATAATTATGGAATTTTTGTTCTCAAAATTGGTGCTCTATATGAAATACCCAGGACGAATTAAAAAAATCCGTTCCTTGTAAAAAAAAGTCAATGAAAAAGTCGTGGGGGCTTTCGAATATACGCGTCATAAAAGGAGTATTCTTGAAATTTTACCCGGAAGATATTATGGTTTCCTCTTCATCGGTGTCTGCTAGGTCATCGTCGGAGCTCGGCTGGTATTTTTTATCGTCGATATGGTTCAGGTGGCAAGCTGCTATTCTTCCTGCTAGCAGCACCATGACAGGCTTGACATCGGACGATTGTAGGTTAGTTTTGCTACAGTAGCAGCTGGAAAGTTAGATCGAAAACTTTTGAACAGAAATCTACATTTTGTTGCCACTATCAATGGACTTATATCACCAAAAAATTTTATTTCATAATTCGATAGAACTCACCCAAACTAGCTCACCACCGCAAACCGTTTCTTGCTGTGAGCTCCCTACGTTTTATAAAAAAATATTGAAATCCCCGATTTTTCGGACCTCTGAAAACGGGGCGATGATGTGACGTCAAAACCCTAATACTGAAACAAGACTATTCCATACAGAGATGAATGATACATGATGATTTCTGACAGAGTGAATTAGCGCGAGATCACAATTGAAAGAATTAATATATCAGTTGCCCCAGTCTCCGTCGGGCGTTTGGTACTTTCAACTATGGCAAGATGAAGTTTCTACGTCATAAGAGGGTCCGTTTTCAGAAGGTACTATTATTTAGGTCCAAAAATGAAACATTCTAGTTAATTTTCCGATCGAATTATGTCCTCAATCATTATTTATGTATAAAAGGATCATAAATAAAGAAGTTACGGAGGAGACATGAAAATGATCAAAATCTGTTTTTTGCGTATAAAACAAAAACGAATAGATTTTATCAAAATATTTTTTCACATTATAGTTGGCCTTGACAAACTCCACATTTGGTGTCATTTAACCGACCTCGTATCTCTCACCGTTAAAAAGATACCCATGGTGAGCATGGTAAGTGGGACACACTGTAGATATAATATTTACTCCAATGCCATAGACTACAACCTACTACTACTACTTGAATACTTTCTATAGTGGCCGTAGGTAAAGTGACTTTTCCGCACGTGTTATGTAAACCACTATAATGTACAATCAAATTTATGAGTTGTAGTTGAATAACTTTTAGGGAGACCCTGTATACTGGTAGTTTTTAGGTACAGAACTCACGATGAAGTCATTTCGAAAAATCTCAATGCCGGTTTTTCTCACCTGGTTTGTGGCAGTACGTCGGAAAAATCGTGGTTGACGACGTTCAGCAGAACAATGCACTGGGTGACACCGTATCTGATGTCCTGCGGATAGAATTCCAAAGCGCTTCTGGCGTCCAGTTGCGTGAGAATTATCGGCACTTCCTTGTGCTCGTACTTGAAGTGCGATTCCAGCGTGAACAAAGAGACAAACTTGTTGCAATCGGCCTTGGGACACTGAAGAGGCCTGCAAAGAGCGAAACCTGGTCATCACTTGGTATCGAAACTCAGTCATTTCCACCAAACGTTCAGTGAGTCGAACGACTATGGTAGACAACTTGAGACGAGCAACTAACATTCCTAGCTACTGCCACACAGGAATTTGAATCACTTTCATTCCAAATATATCAATGAGTCTTTCTCAAGAGAACTTTATTCGAATTTCACGAAGAATAGTGTTGATAAACATCTTCACAAAGATAGAGACACCACGAATTCTTTCAGTTTTGGACTTTTTTCCTGATATTCGGATCATGTGAAAAATCATAGAAGAACAATAGGAAAATTGAAGAGAAATTATGAAGGAATTATAGAGAAATAATAGGGAAATCGAAGAGAGTTTAGAGTGAAATTATAGAGAAATTGAAGGAAAATTAAAGAGAAATTGGAGAGAAATCGAAGAGAAATTATAGAGGAATTGTAGAGGAATTATAGAGAAACTATAGAGAGATTATAAAGGAATTATAGAGTTTAATTATAGAGGAATTATAAAGGAATTATAGAGAAATTCTGGAGAAATTGTAGAGGAGTCAAGAGGACTCACAGAAAAAGAGTACAGACGACAATACTCTCTTATTTTTTAGAGAGTTATACATATAAAGAAGCAAATCTCAAGAAGATCAAGACCTTCGATTGCATTGATTAGATAATGCTCTTGCGCAGGCTTCAACGTTATAGTTTCGTTGGGGAGACACAAACTCTGTTGAAAATGGTATGCCTCAAGGCTCTGTGCTGGGGCCTATCTTGTTCTCATTGTATTGCAACGATGTTTTGAGTTGACTCGGCCGTTACTTGATGGAAATCTATTGCAAATGGAAAAACTCCACAAACGATATGATTTCCACAAAATTCGTAATCACACGACATGTTTCGCTAACACAGTAGCTTCATCAGGTGAACTACTACTGGTACAATGAACTAAACTGAACTTGGCTTGCCTAACTCTTATATATCCTAGTTTCCCAACATAAAGGGTTGGAATTATTATGTTTATGTAGAAATGAAGCTAATTCTTCAGTTGATGATCCGGTTGAAGTTCTATAATTTTGATCATTATTTCTAATGGTAGGATAAACTTCTTGGAATGTTTTATTATGGAGTCTTTAAGGAAGAATACTGTCTATCTAATTTCTCAACGATTTGGCTAGTTGAGATTGATGGAAATTTTACTATATTTCTGATATAAATAGCCTTCATTCAGATATTTTTATTCAGATCTCCAGGAGGTTCATCTCCAATTTGCTCTCACTGAGGCATAGATTGACCATGATAATATTGGTCTCAGATTAATTCAACTTTGTTTGGTAGTCAAACTGACACAACAGTGGGAGCGACACCTGTTGAACCAACGACATAACAATCGAGCATGGATCCTCTTGCAGACTATGTTATTATAACCTGGGGAAGTAGATATTTCTATCCAAGAATGAATTAATCAACGGAGAATTGTAGCAAATGTTTGAGGTTGCATGAGAGTAAGTAACTGCCCTTCAACTCTACCTATGAGTACAAATGTAGGTTGTTATACGACGCTATACCTATATAGTGGAGTATATATACTACGGCCCTGGCCAAAAACGCTATCTCGGAAACTAAGCAAGATAGAGGTATAGTTACTTTGGAGAAAATGATCCTCATCGAATTTTGAGCAACTTTGGTTTTTGTGTGTGGTCTGTCTGTCTGTCTGTACTCTGTGGTAATCATAAATCGATATATCTCCGGAACCCTTTGACATATCGACTTGAAATTTCGCCATCTCATTGTACTCAAAACAGTATCATGTCATTGAAATATGAAGGCAATCAGAAAACTCTAAGGTGGTTTTTCCGGGTTTTATCGATTTTTCACCGGAAGTTTCTTGTAACCACTCTACAAATCGCAAAAGTGGTCCGATCGATTTCATTTTTCGTGAAAAAAAACTCTATCAGGGAGAGACGAAGCCTATTGAAATTGAGCAGGGTCGGAAAATTCCAAGTGGGTTTTTCAAGGAGATTTTCCGAAACACACGGTTCGCTTTAAAACGACATATCTCCTGAACCAATAGACTAAATCAAAATTTTAAAAATGCACCGTATGCCTCTTTGATGACGCAACAAATTATTATATCGCTATTTTCTCGTGCATCCATCGGAAATTGGAAAAATAAATGGAAATCAAAACATCAAAATTTGAAATCCTTTCAATTCAATACATATCGAAAACAAATGGAAAAATCGAAAATTATCAGGAGTGCAAAGTTATCCACTGGAACATTTTCTACAGATTATTACCCCTATTTTTTTCTGTAAACCCAATAGTACAAGAAAGAAAGTAAAAAATATGAAGAAAAAAATTTGAACGACCCATAGGGTACCATGAAGATATGTTGAAAAACAAAGATTATCGATAGATGAAGCTCATCGACTCCCACTGAACCATGAAATATTCTTTCCTTTTGTTGATTGGAAAATGTAACAAAAGTGTTGAAAATTTTATTCTCAGATAATTCCAAATATCTCGAAAACAACTGAATGTATCTGAAAATTATTCCTTTTGATAGAATTTACAAAAAATCCGAATACAATTTTTCTCTGAATTCAATAGTTCGGGAGATACGATCAAAAAACTAAAAAATTCACAAGTTCCCAGATAATCACTTGCCAATAGAATACAAAACAAAAAACAAAAGAAAGTAAAAAAAGCACACTCGACTGTCTTGATTTTTTTCTCATAAACTACGTACGTAGCTCACTCGACTGTCTTTATTTTTGGCCAAAATATGTTGGCATTGTTTCAACTTTCTTTTGTTTCTGTTTTTTTAGTCCCTATTGGCAGTTGAGGGGGCTAGGTACGTAGTTTGTGTGGAAAAACCAAGACAGTCGAGTGGGCCAAGTACGTAGTTTGTGGGAAAAATCTCCAGTTCTCTGAACTTTCATAGCGTCGTATACCTACACATCTTTGGTGCCCAATGATAGTTTCAATATAAAAATATGCTCATGATATGGTGCCATGGCCTCTACTTCCATCTTACATGACCAATAATAAAATATCATCTGCTTTTATAGCGTCGTATAAATTATCTGATCTCTATTAGTCTAATCCAATATCTGATGAAAACTACATCTATACTAATCTGATACCTTTCAAAAACTACGTACCTCACTTGTTTGATGTACGTACCTTTTCGAGAGAGATATGATACTGGAACTGGTACTCTTCGTTGGCGAAGATCTTCTATTGTGGTACGATAGAATTTCTGGATGTGGAAACATCTTGTCTTTCATATCACCTGTCTGCCTAGATCTAGAATCTCCAGATGCTGTAACATTTGAAAAAAAATTGGTGTATCCAACCTGAAGACTATATAGAATTGTTTTGATATTCATCATTTTACCTGTGAGGAACAGTCTTTTGAAACACTCTGTGCAATATAATACATTGTTTCTGCCTTCTAACATGTATTTTCTCTCGAATTTTTCTTGGCAGCTAACACAAGTAGCCATTCTATCGCGGTTTTCCATTTGAATAATTTAAGGGTGCTATTTGTTGTTCAAGAAACATCATCGTTGATGACTGTCATTTCTTCGACGTATGTGAAATAAAAAACCATGGCAACAACGTGATATGTTCCCAATCCAAAAAGGTGTCTAAGACATTGGTGCATCCAATGCCTCTTGATACGGTGTCTACTAAACTCGTATAATATCCAGTATCAGGATTCTTGAATGAGTAAAGAATTCAAATACTGTCTGTAGGTTAATCGAGGAGGTGGTACAATCATTATTCCAGATTTTTTGGACTTCTCTCACGTCGTTTCCATGAAATAAAATATGAATATTATTTCAATATGCGTGTAGTAAGGACAAATCAGATGATCTGCCCCAAAATGTCACTGCGTTCAAAGAATTTTCCTATCAAAGAGCCTGAAAGAAAAATTCACTAGCTTGTCAGTGACAATTGGTATTGAAAAAGGTCTGGAGAAATAAAGAAATATGGAAGAAATATCAAATTTCCACTCAGCTTTGGACGTTTCGGGAACGAATCTGCTCCCGTTTTCGACATAAAAAATGGATATTTATATAGCAAATTCGCATTGTCACTTTTCAGTTCTCAGCAACAATTGGTGACCTTGGCAATCAAATGAATTATGGGATGTTTCCTTTAATTCATCTTGACTTCACCAATTTCATTTTCAAATTTCAGTAGTGGATACCATGTTCTATCTATATCGACTGAACAGGAATAAATATATTGTCTCCGTTAAGAAGAATGCAAGGAGATTCCTTGATTTTTCTCTTCTGGTTGTTATCTTCTTTTCCAATGATTTAAATATTATTCCACACTACCATATGTTGTAAATCTTCAGTAGGGATGTGTTCAGCTAGTTTCGATTTGTCAATATGTCTTTCCTTTGTATTGGACTTATGTTTCTTCGTCCTTACTGAATGAGGTCTCTTGGTTTCACCTGTATAAAACTACCCACAAACACAAGCTATACTGTAAATACAACTTTTTGACGATTGTTCTTCATCTCTCCAATTTGTTTGAGTTAGAATTGATCCCATTGTATTTTCAGTTCTGAACAAAAGTGGAAGTCTTATGTTTGTGGAAAGTTTTATACAGCTTAGTGAACATTTTATATCATTTTTATATACCTCTATTTCTCTTCTCCAAACCTTTTTCAATATAAATTGTCACTGACAAGCAAGTGAATTTTTCTTGTATGCTCTCTGATAGGAAAATTCTTTGAACGCAGTGACATTTTGGGGCAAATAATCTGATTTGTCCTTGTTACACGTATATTGGAATGATATCCATATTTTTATTTCGTCGAAACGAGGAGAGAAAATCCCAAAAAATCTGGAATAATGAGTAAAGAATTCGATCAGTCTTCAGTTAATGAGGTACAAGATGATTATTCCGAATTGAGTAACTTTGAAGTAATAATAAGATACCAAACTCTTCTCGAAATAATTTTATTTCTTCATCAATTATCGTACAACATAGTAGAAAAATAAATATATAAATACTCCTTCAAATAAATTATTCAATATGTTAGTTACTAAAACCTAATGTAATACTTTTCAGGTTTGGTAAAATAGTGTTGTCTCAAATACTCATTCTGCATTTCCTGAGCATCATTCCTCTGCGAAAAACTGTTATACGGATTCGTCTGTGATATCGAATCTATTGGCCTCAACCTCTGCTCATGAATTTTCTGCTTACCATACGAATATTGAGAGTTCAGTGCTGTCAACAAAACCGATGATGGAGTGCTTGATACCATTTTGGTCTCACTAATTGGATATCCATAGAATTTTGGTTGACCAACGGTATCTTCAACAGTTGCTCTGGAAAAAAATTAGACGTCAAAATGTGATCCAGGTATTGGTAACAGAGCGAAAAAGAATCATAGAGAAAGGAAGAGAGCCTGCATTTATCGATCTCAAGTGTTTTTGTGGACCAAGCAAAATAGCAGAGCTCAGGGAAAGGGGTGACACTGAAAAGCTCTGGTCATCAAAGTGCGAAAAAATTCATTGATCATTCGCAAAATGTAGCGACAAAGCTTGTCATCCACAGCAAACCAAAGGTGATGCTCATGATCGACATACCGTATATAAACCCGAAACCTTCAGGATTGATCTTTGATCGTTCTAATAAAAGTTGTGGAGTTGACTTCGAACTTTTCATCTGTGGACATACCTATCACTTGAAAAAATGAGCCCAGCTGAGTCCAATGTGGGTGGATTTCTGGATCATCTGGGGAGATGGAGTAGTGATAGAATGATGAAGTGATGGGCACACTAGTGAAAAGCAAGTTTGAACAGGAGATATAGTTTTTATTCAGATATGAATGCAGGTCCCCCAAAGTACTCGAGGTAAAACATCTAGGAGCACACATAATACAAGAGGAGGAGCTATCCTGATCCTATCTGGAATGAACTCATGTCCTCAAATTTCTTGGGGATAATAAAGGACTAGAGAAATTGCCATAGCTAAGGAGAACAACCTACTCGGGTAGATGTTATAGGTGGCAGTGTATTAACCTCTTATGCATAAATGCAATACATTTTGATTTATTAGATACTGCTAATGAATCACCTACAACTGATTAGTTATGATGTTATGTCAGAAGCTTGGGATATAGAGAGTACTTTGTTCAAGAAGAAAATGCCGCTTGCAGCACTTGCTCTTATTATTGATGAGGCGTTTCAGTAGGTTCTATATAGGTATCAACATTCAGAAATTCTCAGAGGAATTGTTGTACTCATACCGAAGAATACACAGGGTGGAGTGTCCCAGACTTACGTTTGTTTACTCCGGAACGATATTCTACAGTTGAAAATAAGACGAAATTCATCTCTCAACATGTGTCCGTAAATGCTACAGTCAGTTGAATGTTACTTCAGTTTTCTTCGATCACCATTGTTTTATTCCATCCTAGAAATACGGAATTTGGCATTTATGAGTAATTTGATATTACAGAACATTACATTAAAAATGCTCTATTCTTCGAGAACATTTCAACAAAAAAGTATCCCTGTTAGAATCTCGTTAAACGGACCGTTCTCGAGAAAAGTGCAATTATTTTCATTTTGATGTCAAACAAAATTCATAATGATGTTGAGCGTAAGTTCTCATGAGAGAAAATGTGGAGCTTGATAATTGAAACTTCGTATTCTCGGGTAGTTTTGTATCATTAGAATAGAAAGTGATGTCGATTTGTAGAGAAAATATCAATGGAAATTGGCGATATTTCAGACTTTTTCACTAGGTGAATTTCTTCAGACATTAAAAAATTCTTGAGTACGCCACTGGATTCTACGCGAAATTCTGTATCAGACGTAGTTTTCAGCTCAGCATTATTCCTGATAACTTCGGAGATAAAGGAGGGGTCCGAAAAGTATGAATTTTCAAAATCGCTCTGTATCTCATGAACAGAAACAGTTATGCAAAATCTGATTAGGACATCTTGAGTTTCGCTAAAAAGTATTAAAGAAAAGTGAAAATCATAAGACTCTAACTTCAATATCAAGCGAGAAACCTGGCTGTCTCACCCAAAATGGAATGCACTGTACATTGAATGTAAATCATGAATTATCGATTGAAAGAGGTGTGGAAGGATTTCATCCCTCAGTGGTCTTCTCCATCGAAGAAAATTGCATTAGGTTACCTACGTACGCATTTCCACAAAAATTGTTCTGAGATTGTTCTATCCGTCATTTGGTTGCCCTCGAGCAACCCTCAAAAGTCTTCAAGAGACTCATTGTGCGAGCAAGAAATGAGGGATGCCTCAAATAACGTGTGATCTTGTGATCCCAAACACTTCCGTGGGCCATGAGAAAAATGTCTGCAGTTGTATTTGAACCCAACATGATTCCTCATTTTTAACTGGAGAAATCATCTTCCTAAGTCTACGAACGTTATTCTGGATATAAAGACCATAGATCTATCAATATAAAATCAGTACCCACCTGTATCCATTTTCATCAGCAACGTATTTGACGATATGGGCATTTCCGTCGGGCTTCACGTACCCATAGCTGCCGACCACCGTACCATTCTGGTACCTTTCCTCGTCTCTGAACTGAACGTTGTTTGTTTCTGGATCCTCGATGTCGTACCCGAAAGCGTAAGTACCGCGACCTTGTGGTTCGAAGGTGTTGTGGTTAGCCCAGTCCACGGTGCTAAGCCTTGGTACTGGTACACCGGAAGACCAGTGGATTTGACCTAAGAGTTGGAGGATGAGGAACTGGAAGAATAACCGAGAGGCTTGAATTACTAGGTGAATTGTCACTTTAACTAGTTATTTCTCATGTGACACAGACTCATGGTATACCCCCCTCTTCTCTTTTGTGTTTGTAGCTATATTTCTGAATTAGGGAGCATCGAATATGCTCACTATAGGGTACTATCTCACATTTCCGGATTTTTTTTATCTTCCGATTTTCCTGGAAGAGACATCAACTTTCGATTCCCAGAAAATGTCGAAGACGCCGTTGGTTTTTTTTTACAATAAGATATATCGAGTATTCGATGAATTAGTACCTCAATTGGAAAATGAAAGAAATGTAAAATTCCTGTTTGCTTCACTAATGATGTGAAAAAATGTCTAAAAAGGAAAAATGAGCTGAGGAAGTTGAAAAACCTATCAAACCATTATATGCAGCTGTTTGTTGAGGAAAGACATAATAAATATCGAGAAAGCCATTAATACTGATCCAATATACTTCTGGTACACAAAAAGTAATAAAAACCAGATAACCCGCCCCCCAATACTCAAGCTAAAAGGCACTAACATAAAAAATGACGAGTCTCTACGTTTTTTCGTCAGTCTACGCTAACGACCAGGCATCTTACAATCCTAGCTTGGATAATAATATTGAAAACCACACATCAATCAGTGAAATTACTGATAGCAATCTTTTTGAAGCACTGAAAAAACTCAAACCGAAAAAATCTGCAGAAAATGATAAAATTTCACTGTTAGGGCTATTCTGAAGATGAACCAGGACTTTGAGTTTTGATGTCAATTGAGACCAGACAGAGATGAATGATACATGATTTCTGACAGAGTGAATTAGCGCGAGATCACAGTTGAAAGAATTGATATATCAGTTGCCTCAGTCTCCGTCAGGCGTTTGGTATTTTCATTTAACTATGTCGATATGAGGTTCCTACGTCATAAGAGGGTCCGTTTTCAGAAGGTACTATTATGTATGCCCAACAATAAAATATTCCAGTTAATTTTTCGATCGAATTATGTCGTCAATCATTATATATGTATAAAAGGATCATTATAAACATGCTTTGAGTTAAAAGTTCTAGCCTAGCCTAGCCGTTCTATGGATGAAGGAGTTTTGATAAAGTGCTGTTCGACATCTTTCGAGGTTGACAACGGAAGGGTGTGCTGACTGGGCTTGTTCAAAATACTATTTGTTCACAATATTTTTCGTTATATATTTAATTTTCAATAAAAAAGCGAAATTATTACACGAGTTTGACTATATTTTCAGAATTTTGTCTAATTGGGGCATAAACAGGCAACTCCATTTTTTCAAACTTCTTTTTCAGCTTCAACAATGTTGATGAAAATTAGAATGTAGGTAAATACAGCTTATCTAACGTAACTCTAAAGGATTCATACCATTTAGCATAAGTTTTTCGAGTTTCTCGTATTTCTCCATTCCCCAACATTTTAAAAAATTGGAGTTGCCTGGTTCTTGCACCGAGGTCTTCAATTACTGACTGGTGTTTTGAAATGCAAGCGAAATATTTCTCAACTGGTGGTAGAATGATCATTTCGCTATCAAAAGTGCCCTTGACAGACAAAATATGCTACTGAATGAAGTAATTTATCCAAACTGTCAATTTCATGGGATAAATATTTTGTAACATGTGTAGTTACTATGTAATCACCAAGTATATATTCACTATGTCCATCATCATTTCATCACAATTTAATCACAATTCCTAGGGTAGCTCAGTAATTAATGAAATGAGTTTGCTCAGTTGTATTGGTTGTAAGTGGATAATATTCAATGTTATTCTCTTTGTCATTTCCATATTTTTTTCGATCGGTAAAGATACCAAAGAATCGACCGACTCCTTAAAAAGAACCAATTAGTCTGTTCCATAACAATATTTCAATAGGTTGTTCAATTAATTTCTACCTGAATTGTTTAGGCAATCAACGGGTACGTAGGAGTACTATAAATTTAATGAAAACAAAAAAAAAACTAATTTTAAAGCTTCATCTATGGTGTGTCATAAATTAATATATTATGCGCAGTACATTAACCCAGCATTATCTTCGGGCAATGAAGATTAATTTCAGTTGTTGCATGACTTATTTTCAGTTGTTTTTTGAGTGTGCTAAGCTCGATTAAGATTAGTGTAAATTATCATCTCGTGCTGATAATTGATATCATTTCCATTTTATGAATTTTATGATTGTTGTCCACAGGTAAGTACATAGATGTGAGGAGATTCGTTGACCTCAGTAGGTAGGTATGAAAAAATATGTATTTTTTCATTGGAAAAAAACTTCGTCCCAATTCTAGTTTTACATGCATCTATTTGAGTTGGGTAACAATTTCACAATGAATTTGAATTTTGTTATTTCCATTGTTAAATAATTATTTGTACTGTATATGATAATGAGAAAATAGTTTATATACATTTGTTTCAATATAGATGTTGATATCGATTTTTGTGAAATATTCAACAAAAATCAACAATCCATACCTACGTTACAACCCTTATAATATTTTATTTTTCATATTTATGTATGGGTATTGAAAGAATTTCATGCATTGAATCATTTATGGATATCCACATTTTTCCTCAAAATACTGCTTTTCGATTAAATTCATCTTAAAATCGGATTGCTCACCTATACCGGGTGTCCTAATAAGTTATCGTATACAGGCGATTTCTCGCTTATTTGACAAGATAATTGGAAAATTCGAAAATGGTATCGAATAGCATTGAAGTACCTTCCTCATGACACATAAAAAATCTATTACATTTGACACTTCTCTGGCAGCTATCCCCCACTTTTATTTTCAACTGGCACCCCCTGTATATTATCATTGAAAATTGCGTGCCGTCCTTCAAGAAATACAACGATAGCATATGCTTGATATTTTTTTATTATTATAACGAAAACTGCAACATTTAATGAAGTATGAATTTCAACTAGAACATCAGCTTTTATGCGAATTAAAAAATGAACTGAATATCAGAGCAAGCATATTCAAAATTATTATGACATGAGAATCATTGACTTCTTGTAACAAAAAACAAAAGCGGAGGCAATCTCTCATTTTTATAAGGATAATTGAGTAACTTGAAACATGCAAGCAGTCAAAAAATCTTGATATCATCGTTATCAATAAAAAATACAAAGTATACGATATGGTTGTATTCCTAATTGAATAACACGTTATTCCCAATGACAATATACAGGGGATGCCTTTTGAAAATAAAATGATGGTGGGTAGCTGCCAGAGAACTATAAAATATAATGGATTTTTTTAGATGTCATTAGGAAGGTACTTCAATGTCATTCAATGAAGTTTTTGAATCTTTCAACAATCTAACCAAATAAACGAGATATTGCCTGTATACGATAACTTGGAACACCCGGTATAAGGGGTATTTTTTTTCAGGATTCTGAAGGACCTGGGACGAACGAATTTGAAATTAGAGTTTGTTTTCTGAAAAAACGATCGGGCATTTTGATTTCCATTTTTGTCTACCACTTTTCTGATGATTGATGCATGTACACAGGGTGGCCCAAAAGTAAGTTACGATTCAATCATCAACTGCATTTTATCAAATAGAAACATCAACATTCCATTCATTTTTTTTTTTTTCAAATTTTGCATCGAATGGTTAGTTTGTTCTATATTTTGTATCATATACCCAAAAGGAACAATTATCGAGAAAATTATATACGATTGAATATATCAATAACTGAGACCGATTCATTGAACAACAAATCAAATCTGATGTTTCAACTGTATTGTTTCAATTGGATAAACTTGTTCAAAGAAATAATGTGTTTCATTAATTTTTCTCGGAAGGTTTGAGCTCAATTTTGAGACACCCTATATCTATAAAAAATTTCTAGAATAATTAGGGAGAATCACCTACTTGGAAAATCTGATGCACCCTATGACTTTTCGGCATTTTCACGGCCACAAACTGGAAGTCACGGTTGATGAACCCGCTGAAAGATTATGCCGCGAATTTCGGAGGAAAGGTCAGTTGTGCAAATCCTTGGGCTTTATATTCTCTCCTACCTATTCGCGAAAACTAGACAAAGCGCGACAAAGGTGGAGCTTGAGCAAAATCATCTCGGCGATGTCAAGTTCAAGATTTACTCTTTGAAGGAAATCCATGGTTACTCAAAGTGGATGAAAATCCCAAAGTCATCCACACAACGTTCATTTTATTTTTTCAATCGCTTGGAGCGCACGAAAGGGAATCCCTATAATGTTCAAAGAACACCGTGCGTTCCTAGGGAGGATAGGGATAGGAGGTAGGTATTGGAATTTTTTTTGAACTGCGGGAGATTATATGTTGTTGGGAATACTTCCTCAGGCAATGAATTCCAGAGCCTAGCCGTTCTATGGATGAAGGAGTTTCGATAAAGTGCTGTTCGACATCTTTCGAGATTGACAACGAAAGGATGTGCTGACTGGGCTTGTCTAGTTCGACTGATTGATTAGACATCAATTACGCAGGTATATGTTTCGGGGTTAGGTATATAATCCCATCATCAGTCGAATATAAGATTCATAATTATGGAGATGAAAATTTATGGAATTCATACACTCAAGTCAGTTTGATATTTCATTGTTTAATTGCCACCTTGGGAATTTAAAAAAGGTGCAGCATCTGCACTTTTTGGTCCTGAGCCTTTTTGTGGGATAAGCAAATGTCACCTAAAGGGAGAACTCGGGAAATGGGAAGAAATTGAAAAGTCCTCCTACTGGAGAGCAACTCCAGGTCAACGACAAGCGAAAAGGTCCATCAACCATTCGCAGAACCGAGCCAAAGTGCTACTCAGCCTCAGCAAACCAGAGCTAAAGCTTATCACAGGCTTTCTCACAGGCTTTCGCCCTCTGAGGTACCACCTCAAAAAGATGGGTCTGGCGGAGACTGACACTTGCCGCTTTTGTAACAATGCGACCGAAACCGCGGAACACATACTTTGCTCATGTGAAGTATCAGTCCCCCAAAGGCTGAACCACCTAGAACAGGTCTATCTCACCCCTGCTGAAGTGGAAAAGTCAACCGTCAGGAAAATCGTAGGCTTCATCAGAAGTCTAGGGTTAGAGGACCAAAACTAGATAGGGGTAATCACAATAGATCTTCTAGGTCGCAGTGATCGAGAGGTCTCTCAGCCTATACGACCCATCTACAATCTACTGGGCCAATAAAAGAGTGGACCACCCTACAACCCCCTCAAAACTATTTATATACAGCAAAAGCCCGATTTTGATCCCAACATTATGTCTTTTGGATATTTACATCGAATTTAGAATCACCTTGTACATATAGTGTTCCAGAATAGGTTAAACTTTTCGAAAACGGTCAATTCATTTCCTGGAAAATGTAAATTACTTGAATTTGAGAATATTTGTTGTTGAGAAAATACAAATAAATATTCCAGAACTTTCTTCTCAACAGGAACACCTTGGCAATTCTGAAACATTGCACCAGGATTTATTCTAACGTTTTAGCAGAATTATATATGTTTTTTAATTGCTCACCAAAATATTCGGGTTGGTACTTTGCTTTAATTAATGCAAATACGACTGATGATTGACTGATTCGATCATCAAATAAATAATGAACCTCAGTTCATTATCCCGAGGTCCAATTCTATTGGTGGGCGTTATACAAACCCGCTGCCCTCAAATTACATACCATCGACATTTCGAACAATAAATAATCACGGTGAATCTAAAACCTATATTTCTCTATAATTCGGAACTTATCAAGTAGGCGAGCAGATATCGTATTTGGAGCTCTGCGCTCAGTGATCAGCTTTTGTTTATGACAAAACGGTAATTCGTTTATTATTATAATGTGCTCGTAAAATTCAGATAAACCTGAAAATCTACATTTGTCAGAGCTGTTCTTACGTGTTCAACATCTCCACAGGCAGCATAGATTTACATGATTTACAAAATATACTACATGACCAACATGGTGTTTTATGTCATCAAAAATGTTTGGAGAAAGATCTCCTCCCTCATTTTTTGTTGTTGGTGAAATTGCCATAGTTATTCGAGTAATTTGAACAAATAAGTTGGATGATTTCATCTATATTCACTTTGAATACCACCAAATAAGAAAGTCACGTAATGAATGGAATAACATATATTTTCACAGTTCCTAGCTCGTAAATCTTTATGTTCTCAATGGCCTGGTCCTTCGGAAAAGTCTATTTCATCTTTTAGAAGTGGTTACTACAACTAACTAATTCACAATCCGTTTCCCCCTCAGAGTTCTGTACGTTTTTAAATATTCATCGAAATCTATATACAGACAGTATTTTATATCATGAAAATAATATTCGATACGACTGATGTATGGTGTTGATCTGAGTACACCCCTATACGGTGGAAATGAATTCTGGCAAAGTGGTTATGCTTTCATTCGTTGTCGAATAGGTCTGTCAGTATTGGTGCTTATGGGTATATCACGTCATCAAGAGCTAGCGTTTCTGAATGGGGTCGATATAAATTATCAGGAAGAAATTACGTCAGCAGGTGGAGGAATCAGAACTGAAGTGAAATCATAGCCTAATGAAATTCGTATACCAAGAGTCAAAGACACAGGAAAGTTATATATAACTACTAGAATATCAGTTGTACATCAAAATTAGATTTGGTATAATAGTTGAATGGTATGTGATGAATGTTTTCGCAAATTTTCTACTTTCTGGTGACTTCTGTCTCTGGAAATGTATCTGATTCATAATTTCTGAGACCCTGCCTATATAATGTCTAATTTTTGTTTTTTTTTATTAGATGATTCACTTTTTCATGTTCATCATTTTGACGTAAAAATAAACTGGAATTCCACTTTCATTACTTATGTTCGTGTTTTGTTTTCCAGAGAAGATTGAATATCTGCCTAATATTATGCATCACGAATATCCATGTCACACTCGACAGACGTAAATAATTATCATCCAGGACCTAGTCTCCTTACTGATATTCAATTCATGATATTTTTATTCTCAATCCAATCGCCAATGATAGTGTCGTTAGATTCGTCTAGGAAACTTTGTTTGGAAAACATAATTTTGCCAACTTGTCTCATTTATATCTATAATAAAATTCTAGAATCTGAAACATCTCAAATGTATTTTTCTGACATCACCTAGATCACTGAGGTTCTTAGATTACTTTACGTCCGATCATAGCTACCTAGATGCAATATCAAAAATGACTAAATAAATTCAGCCGGGGTAAAAAGTTTCGAACATGTCACATTCTAATAAAAATATGGGAAAACTCTTCTATGTAAAAAGGATATCCTGTAATGTTCTGAGAACATCGTGAGAACCAAGGAAAATTAGGTAGGAATTGGTGTTCTTCTTAAATTTCTGGAGGTTATATGCCTCGGGAAACACCTCCCTTGGTAATGTGTTCCAGAGCCTCGCTGTTCGTTGGATGAACGAGTCTTTGGAAAAAGATGTTCTGCAGGTTTCCAAAGTGACCACGAGAGGGTGCGAAGCCTCATCTCGACGGGTATCTCGCGGGGACTGCCAAGGAAGGAACAATTGTTGATATTTCAGAAGTGCATCGTCCATGGAAATATCTATAAAATAGATCCAGATCGCCAACTTTTTTACGGTGTTCTAGAGAAGTGAGTGAGTTTGTGAGCGAGGCATCACCCACGAGAAGAATTGCCCTTTTTTGGACAGAATTCAACAGTTCCATGTGCCTTATAGATCATGAGCAGCTGACTCGAAGTGAAATAGCTCCTGGCCCGAAACAGAAACCCAAGTTTTTGGGATGCACTTTTAGCAATGATGTCTTCAAAGGCATGGTTACTCCTGACAAGCTTATGTTGGGCACAGTGAGATCGGCTTTTCTAGAGAGAAGGCATGCTTGTGTTTTGTTCGCATTGAAATCTACCAAGTTATTGGATTCCCGTTCGAGAATTGTTTGCAAGTCCATATTTATGTTGTCAACATGTCTTCCTCGTTCGTTTCAGATTTGCCTGGCTGGTATTGGAGCCCTGGAAGAGAAGGCGGTATGGAGGGTACTATATCATCCGCGAAGCTGTGTACTCGACATGAAGTTGCTTGTAACAAATCGTTGATATGGAGTAGAAATAGTGTTGGTGCTAGAATTGATCCGTGCGGAACACCAGCATTTATGATAAGAGAGTCAGATGAAACTCCGTCAACCACTACATGGAGAGACCTGTTTGAGAGAACTATAGCTAGCAGAAAACATAGCTGGGGAGCCAAGCCATAAGATGGAAGCTTGGCGAGGAGTCCGTGGTGCCAGACTCGATCGAATGCCTTGGAGATATCAAGTGCCACGGCTAAGGTTTCACCATATTTTTCAATAGATTGCTGCCATATATGTGAGACGTGAGCGAGCAGATCACCAGTTGATCTCTGATGACGGAAGCCATATTGCCTATCGTTGATAATACCTGAATGTTCCAGGTATTTCATGAGCTCGATGTTGATAGCTCTCCCCATGATCTTTGGAATGATAGATTGCAATGCGTTCGGTCTGTAGTTGATAAGTAGGGTCTTTTTGCTTTTTTTAGGAACTGGTTGTACTCTTGCAATTTTCCAGTTGGACATGAATATCCCGAATTTGTAAGAGTAGTAGAAAAACTTGCAGAGAACAGGTGTCAGTTCGGGAGCACATTTTTTCAGAACAATCGGCGGGATTCCGTCGGAGCCACAAGCTTTGTTGGTGTTGAGACCCAATAAAATCTTCCTTATAGTACATTGGCGAAAGGTGATCTCGGGCATATGACTGTCAGTTATTGACGTTATGTCTGGATGTATAATAGATTCGTCAACACCCAGTAGGATGTTTTTGCATGAACTCCACAAAGAAATATGAATCTGATTATGATGGGTAACTTCCCAATGTCCTAAAAATTGGCAATAGAGTTGCATTGAAGAGGATAAGTAATCC